AGGGGTCACAGCATTAGGAAGATTTAGCAACACTGCACTGATTTTGGAGAAGGAGCTCTTCAAAGATGCTAAATCTGTGGAAGGAAGATGTTTTTTTATTAACTAAGTTCAAAACTTTGGAGAGCTCAGCAGTTGAATCATCAGCGCCTTTGAAGTCTATGGAGAAAATCACCCCAACATGGAAAGATGCTCCCCCAAAGAGAACTAGCCCATTGTAACCTGTACCCCTGGGTTGAGAAGTTAGATTTGCACCCTCTTGCACGTGAAGTCCTGAATGACTGATCACTCAAAGGGAACAGGAGTGCCATATGCTCTTGTTTTCGTTCTAAAGTTTGCAACTGATTTTAACTTCATCCATGGTTTAATGACTTTCTTAATCTTGGCATGAAATGAATTTTCAGTGCTTGGTTGTGGGCTGCTTTCAGTCCTGGAAAGGGAGGATACAAACAGACATAACTCTCCTCTGTCCCCAGCTGGCCATGCAATTCATCACCCTCTACGGCTACGAGGACATTGTGACGGCGCGCATCGAGGGCAATTCGGGCTCATTGTGGAGCATCAGTCCTCCCAGCCGGGAGCAGCTGAGGCAGGAGCTGCAGAACGGCTCTTCAGACATTACGCTGCGCTTTACGTGGAATTTCCAAAGGTATATACATAGATCAATAGGCACCACTTCGGCGGGAAGGTAACGGCGCTCCATGCAGTCATGCCGGCCACATGATCTTGGAGGTGTCTACAGACAACGTCGGTTCTTCAGCTTAGACATGGAGATGAGCACCACACCCCAGAGTTGGAAACGACTGGACTTCATGTCAGGGGAAAACCTTTACCTATATACATACATATATACATACACCGGCAGTCCCTGAGTTACAGATGTCTAACTTACAAATTACTCTTAGTTCAGAATGGGTGTGAGACAACAGGAAGTGCGAGAAACTCTCCCTCGGAAGGGAAATTCACTCCTAGAAGAGTTATTATCATGGGCAAAGGGGGGCTCAAGGGAAGCTTTATCACTAATCCTTGTTTCCACAACAAGCCACATTTTCCAAATTCTCACAGGGACAGACAGTGAGGGGAAATCTGCTAAACAGAGGCTCAGATAGCAAAGGAAAACACCACAGGGGTGTTAACCTTTTCCCTATGCTATCCATCCATTTATCTGTACTATCTATATCTATATCTATCTACATATCTATATCTATATATGGATGTTTGGTAAGTGTTCTTCCAGCCACTCATATATGTATGTGTGTGTGTGTGTGTGTGTGTGTACATACACATGCACATACAATAGGCTTGTTTGATTAAAAAAATGGTTCAAAACTCGTTTTGGATGTTCGATTCTAAAGTCAATTCTGATTTTTACAGAAAAAAAATATTCAAAACTTTTTGAAACTTCTGAGACTTCTGAATCCTTCCTTAATGGTTTGAAAGTGTTATTTCCTGTTTCATTGGGTGGTCTTTACTTTGAAAGTAGTTGTTTTACTCCAGAAGCGGGGGGGGGGGGGGGGGGGAAATCCATCCCGTCTGGTTTAAAATGCTTCCCAGCCTGAGACAGAAGAGGGGGGAGAGGAAAGGGAGGATATTCATCCACTCTAGTTTAAAATGGCTTCTCTGGCTTGAGCCGAGGCCAGGAACCAGAAGTGGGGGAAAGCTGAATTATTTCCGACTCACTTACTGCTTCGTAACAGAAATGACAGGAAAAGCTTCAGAAGGGTAAAGGGTTCCTTAAAAACTACGAAATCGCTTCAAAAAGCAAATCTTTGCTAATTTATTCCGAATTACGAAAATTCCGACCAAACCTAACCATGCCTAATAAACACACATATACATATGTGGGTGGCTGGAGGAACACATACAAAATGTACTAGACTTCGCCACAATAGTTCACGCTCTTGTTACATCTCAAATAGACTACTGCAAATCACTCTACGTGGGGTTGCCTTTGAAGACTGTTCCAAAGCTTCAAGTGGTCCAATGGCAGCAGTCAGGTTGCTCACTGGAGCGGGGTACAGGAAGAACACAATCCCCCTGTTGTGTCAACTCCATTGGCTGCCAGTATGCTACCGAGCACAATTCTTTAGTCTTTAAAGCCCTAAACAGTTCCGGCCCAACTTACCTGTCTGAATGCATCCCCCTCTATGAACCATCATGGAGGTTACGATCTTCTGGGGACACCCGCTCTCGGTCTCACCTACTTTGCAAGTGTGGTTGGTGGAGATGAGAGAATGGTGGCCCCCCATCTGTAGAATTCCTTCCCTAATGAAATCAGGTCAGCACCCTCCCTGCTATCCTTTGAAAGAGAACAAAGAGATGGTTATGGGACCAAGCTTTTGATAGTAAAGTAAAGCAGTACAAGAAATAAATATGGAATATGTGGAATCGACATTTGGAATGGCCCGGTCTACGAGTTTGAGTCATGTGATCCTAATGTTTTTATGAGGTGGTTTTAATTTTTATGCTTTCATGTCTAACTGTTGCTTTATCTTAGAACTGTCTTGTTGAATTTATGCCTATGTTTCGTTCAGACTTATGATTTTTTAATGTATGTGGGGCATTGAATTTTGCCATGATTTGTTGTAAACCGCTTTGAGTCCCGCTGGGTTGAGAAAAGCGGTATATAAATATTATAAATAAATAAATATCTGTTCTGACTTGCGTACAGATTCAACTTAAGAACAAACTTATAGAACCTATTTTGTTTGTAACTTGGGGGCTGCCCCCCCCCCCTTATATATATTTGAATTGTGGTGATTTAGGACCATGGTGCTCTTCTGTAACTTATTATGAACTCCAAATGACTTGAATCCAGACTACTCCCTTGCGTCATTCTATGGGTTTTGTTTCTCTGACCTTTAATGATATTGTCTTGGAATCACTTTAATTTGGAAATGACTCTTAGTTGACCAGCAGGATTCCCGTTTCCCCCACTATGAAGCCTCCTTTGAAAAAAAATCTTGCTAAGAAAGCCCTGTGATAGGTTAGTCTTAGGGTCGCCTTAATAACTTGAAGGTATAGAACAACACAAAGTTCTGGAGTGCTTGTGAAGGGGGGATATTTCTCAATGTTTTCATGTACAAGAGTTGCAAAAGTGGGGCTTCTCATTCCTCTCGCATCATCTCTCTCCTTCCAGGGATCTGGGCAAAGGAGGGACGGTGGAATACACTTCTGAGAAGCACACCATGGATTTGAACCAAAGCAGTGCCGTGCGCAGGAGTCTGGCTGGGCTGCTGGAAGGCACCCACAATGCCTCTGTGTGAGTCTGGTGGGGTTCTGTTCTTCCAAATCGCAAAGAGATCCAATGTGTTGATGTGATTTGAGCATTGGATTGCAACTCTTGAGACCAGAGACCTGCTTGGCCATGAAATCCCACTGAGTGAATTTGGGCATGTCACACATTCCTAGCTCCCAGAGACCCCAGAATAGGGTCACCATGTGTCAGAAGTGACTTGCAGGCAACAATAAGAAGTACAAGGTGGCCTGTTGCTCCCTTGTAGAACATCCAATGCCTAGTTTTTTAAAGGTCTATGTTAAGTGTTGGGCGAGTGTGCTTATTAACAAAAGACCCTCCCCATAAATATATAGCGGAGTTACTTATTAGCAGCAGTGTGACCCAGCACCAGTGATAAAAAGGACAAAAACACACAGACCAATGTTATCTCTTCCTTAGGAGGCTTTTCTTTGTAGTAAAATAATATAGTTGCGCTATTTACAAAAATAAGGTTTCCACAACACAAATAAAGCCGTTTATACTTTCTTCTTTGCTTCCATGTTGGGCTTCTTTCTCATGCAGATAAACGGCTTTACTCTCACAGAGCCTCTTCTCACACTAAACTTACACAGGAGCTTCACACAGCTTTTTACACACAGCAGCCTTCATACTGGAGCTTTACACATGAGGCCTTCAACCTGGGGCTTCTCTCACTGAAGCCTTCTCACACTGAGGCCTTTCTCCCACTGAGGCCTTCTCCCAAACTGAAGCTTCTCCCACACTGAGGAATCTTCTTTAAAAGACCTACCTGTGCAATTTAGCTTACGGAGAGGATCGGGATCAGTATTCTTTACACACATCCTCGCCTAGACACCTGATTCCCACCTCAGCCTGCTGTTGTAATAGGTTTTTAATGTATTGATGTATTGTGTTTTAATTTGTATTTAGCTTATCCTTGGTTTAAGTTCTGTTGTGTATAAGTTATAATTAGTTTATTTTATTTTATGTTTTGTTATGACTATTGTTTATCTCCTGGTATTGAATGTTTGCCATTTTTGTTATACTTTGGAAACTGCCCTGAGTCCCTCTGGGGAAAGAGGGCGGGTATAAATAATAATAATAATAATAATAATAATAATTATTATTATTATTATTATTATTATTATTATTATTCTTTCACCAAAGCTTCTCACACCAGGCCTTCTCACACTCGCTCTTCTCATAGACTAAGGACTTTTTTTTGGTCGTGTCAGGAGCAACTTGAGAAACTGCAAGTCGCTTTTGGTGTGAGAGAATTGGCCGTCTGCAAGGACGTTGCCCAGGGGATGCCCAGATGTTTTGATGTTTTTACCATCCTTGTGGGAGGCTTCCCTCATGTCCCCGCATGAGGAGCTGGAGCTGATAGAGGGAGCTCATCCGCACTCTCCCCGGATTCGAACCTGCGACCTGTCAGTCTTCAGTCCTGCCGGCACAGGGATTTAACCCACTGCGCCACTGGGGGCTCCTCACTAAGGCCTATCTCACACTGTAAGGCCTTCTCACAGACTGAGACCTTTCTCCCACTGAGGTTTACCTCAGACTGGCGACATTCCTAAGCAACAGGCACGCCTGCTTATATTGAACCGCAGCTTTGATGAATCATTGCATCTATTTAACCCTTTCAGCACTTGACTCACATTTTTGTAATTAAATATACCTATTTAATTTTTAATATTCCTGACATTAAACTTTGCATGAACCTACAGAAAGCCATTGACATGCAAGGACTGCTTTCATTCAGTCCAACCCCATTAGCACGTTTTCTAAACTTTTGAATCCCCTCCAATGTTTTTATTCCACTTTTTCTCGAATGAGCTGAAGTTGGCTTTTGTGACTCCTTTCTTCCCTCATTGATCTTCTCAACTATCCTGCAATACAAAAAGCAACTGACCAGAGGTCACCCAAGGCTCACTGCAGACTTAAGACGGGTTCTCACCAACCCAGTGCTCTGGGTGCATTCTGAGTGTGGAAGTGTGGACAAGGCTGTGTTAGCTCCCAAGCAACGTTCTCACCCTTCTTCTCCGATAACTCTTTCTTTCTTCTAGGAGGATTCCCCACCTCTTCCCCCCCTACATCCGCGCCCCCAATGGTCCTGAAGCCAATCCAGTTGAGCAACTGCTACCAGGTAAGGCCTTTGATGGGAATTCAGCTTTCCCAAAGACTTGATTTTCTTCTTCATTTATCCTCCACACGTCTTATTACTTCTCACCAACAGAAGAGCCGAGTTGCTCGGACTCACTTCTGAAAATTCAGCAGCCCTAAATATTGCTGAACTGGCAAATACCAGTCCTATTTTAAAGCTCTTGCTATGTCAATCTTTCAGAACTTGAGGCCCATAGAGAAAAAAGACAGCCTTGTTGGCTGGTTTCCCATGCTTTTTGGATTGGGACCTCAGCCTCCAACGACAGTTCTCCTTCCTGATTTATAACATCAGTTTCCGATTCATAACCAGAGACAGCACTCTTTGCTGAAGTAATAGTGGCCCAAAGGAAAATAATCACAGGGGACAGAGTTTAGATTATTCTGAATATGTATCTAGGGTTTGAATGTGTTAAGGGCAGAAATAATAATAATATAATAACTTTACTTTTGTACCCCGCCTCCATCTCGCCAAAGGGGCCAAGGGCAGCTTACATAACACAGAGAAACTATATCCGATCTATAACTGAACTTTAAAAAGTTATGTGCCTATATGGTGAATTAATACAAGATGTTTGTGAGTAAACAAGATGCATTATTTTTCAAATAAGACTTTTTTAAAATGTCCGAGTGCATATTTTAAACTAAGAGGTTTCAAGGGAGTGTACATCTTTTGGGCACCTGCAAATTCAACTTCAAAGAAACAACCATTCTCTGCTAACCCACTATATTTTTATGCAGTGGCATGTCTTTGTCCCTGCCAATTCAAAGACATGGTTTATTAGTTTAACAACTGAGTTACCTGTGTGCCATTATATGAATATCACATGTTCAAAGGGTTGACTTCTTTCTTGATTAGTGGCTTTCAAAAGGTGGTCTACACATGTTCATGGAGATACACATTTGCCAAACGGATGTGAAATTATTTTTTTTTTACCTTTTGGATAAGGTTGTGGTGCAGTTATTTCCAACAGGCTATGGAATTTCCAATAACTCCTTCCCCTTCTGTGCCAGATGAAGAGGACAGTTATCTAGATGTTGCGGTGCAGTTGAGGCGGCAGCGGATTGGGGCCGGGAATGTCAGCGCCAGTTTTGTCGAATGGTGGGTCATCCAACTGGCCGACTGCCAGCACGACTGTGACATCCTCCCAATGCTCATCTTCAACGACAAAGTCAGTCCACCGAGCCTGGGCTTCCTGGCAGGATATGGGTGAGCAAGAATCGCTCGGTGGCTTCCCTTCACCTTTCCAGGGATGTGCTGGAGAAACTTGCTAGAGCATTCCTAACCGCTGGTGGGCTGATAGGAATTGTGGGAGTTGAAGTCCAAAACACCTGGAGGGCCAAAGTTTACCCATGCCTGCTCTAGAATCACAGAGACAGGGTTTCCGTGGCTGCTTTGATTCAGGATCCATGTGGTTCTGCAGCCCTTGATCTGCTCAAGTAAAGCAATGCCCATTAGTTTCAGTTGGGACTACTCTGGTCACTTTTGACTGCTTTGATAACTCATTTAGGCATCCTGTTAGTGGCACATGCCAGAGTGAACCAACTGTGCATGTATAAATTCCTTTTGGCATTGAAGAAACTGGTATTCCCATCTTCCCTCTGCGTCAACCATGTAACTGTCCCCACACGAAAGCATTCCTTGGGTGGTGGACAGTATGGAGGACATTGGCAGGGGTTGGAAGACTTGCTCATGGTGCCCGCTGTAACCTGAAATGTCCTTGGAGGGAGGGCATTGGTGGCTCTTCAGCACTGGGTTATCGTTCTTTGTGGAGGCAGAAAGCTGGACACCTCCGCCACATACGCACATAGATAGATATTGTAATTATTGTATTTCTTACCCACCTCTCCCTGTGGCTCGAGGGCAGTTACAGGATAATTAAAACACAGAGACATTGTAAAAAAATCTATAAACATACATATTTCTACAGAAGATACGTATTCAACATATTTCTAAAAAACAAAGAACAGAGATTAAAGACAAAACAAGGTGTGTGTTCTGATCTGAGCCCTGCAGAAGGCCTCTCCTCACGTAGGCTGAACGGCATTGGACTTTTTGAAGTAATAAGCAATTAGCATGCAGAACTCATGTTGTCTTAGTTTCTCAACAAAGGGATCATTTTCTCCATAGTCTGGCTCTCAGGGTGCTCACCCACATTCAATAAATGGCTGCGCTCTTTCATAGGGATTGCATAATTTATCACTGCATAGGAAAAAATGCCTTGGAACTTCCATATACGGAAACTGGATTCGAAAGAACATGGCTTGGGGTGGTCAGCCCTGTCCTAGGTGTTTCTACCTTGGAGCAAAGTCTTCCCCCAACCCCCCTCTTCCTGTTGGGCAAGTGGGCTTATTAACAAAAGACCCTCCTCATAAATGTACAGCAGAGTAACTTATTAACAGCAGCGTGACCCAGCACCAGTAGCCCAAAGTGATAAAAAGAACAAAAACACACAGAGAAATGCTATCTCTTCCATAGGAAGTTTTTCTTTGTAGTAAAATATGGTTGCACTACTTACTAAAACAAGGTTTCCATAACACAGAAATAAAACTTGATGCAGATTTTCAAAGCAACAACAACAACAACCACAACCACAACCACAACAACACTTCAGTTCTTTATACTTCCTTCTTTGTTTCCATACTGGGCTTCTTTCTCATGCAGATAAACAGCTTCACTCTCACAGAGCCTCTTCTCACACCAGACTTAAACAGGAGCTTCATACAGTAGCTTTACACACAGCAGCCTTCACACTCGAATTTCTCTCACAAGGTCTACTCACGGTGCAGCCTTCTAACACTGAGGGCTCTCTCAGGCTGAGGCCTTTCTCCCAGTGAGGCCTTCTCACACACTGAGGGATCTCTCAGACTGAGGCCTTCTCATACTGAGGCCTTTCTCCCACTGAGGCCTTTTCACACACTAAGGAATCTCTCAGACTGAGGCCTTTTCATACTGAGGGATTTCTCCCACTGACACCTTCTCACACTGAGGGCTATCTCAGGCTGAGGCCTTTCTCCCAGTGAGGCCTTCTCACACACTGAGAGCTCTCTCAGACGGAGGCCTTCTCATACTGAGGCCTTTTCACACACTAAGGGATCTCTCAGACTGAGGCCTTTTCATACTGAGGGGTTTCTCCCACTGACACCTTCTCACACTGAAGGCTCTCTCATACTGAGGCCTTCTCACACACTGAGGGATCTCTCAGACTGAGGCCTTTTCATACTGGGGGATTTCTCCCACTGACACCTTCTCACACTGAGGGCTCTCTCAGACTGAGAGCTACTAAGCTACAGGCACACCTGCTTATATTGAACTGCAGTTTTTGCTGAGTCATTGCATCCATTTAACCCTTTCAGAGCTTGACTCACATACTTGTAAATGAAAATGCCTAGTTAATTTTTAATATTTTTGACACTTCCTTCTTGTCCAGGATCATGGGCCTTTACGTCTCCATCGTGCTGGTGATCGGGAAGTTTGTGCGGGGCTTCTTCAGCGAGATCTCGCACTCCATCATGTTCGAGGAGCTGCCCTGTGTCGACCGCATCCTCAAGCTGTGCCACGACATCTTCCTGGTCCGCGAGACGGGAGAGCTGGAGCTGGAGGAGGAGCTCTACGCCAAGCTCATCTTCCTCTACCGCTCACCAGAGACCATGATCAAGTGGACAAGGGAGAAGGAATGATGGGGAGGAAACCAAGCTACCCAAAACCTACAAAGGGCGGTGCTAAGAAACCCACCTTCTCCCCTGTTTTCTCAATAAGGACTTGGTGAGATTGCTGAGTCAATCTGTTTAGGATTCTCTCCTAGGAGCTGCTGGACTTCAAACTTTCCCTTGCTTACAATTCAGTGGGGCTTTTGGGGAGGGATCCCTGTAGCCTCACTGCTTTGGCAGAAGGGCAAAGACACTGTCACTTTCTGAAACAAAATTATCCCCTCCTATTTTTAAGGACACAAAAAGGAAGGAAACAGACACTTCTCTCCCTTTCAGTCCAAAGCCCTAGCTTGCTTCCTCCCTAAAGCACAAGAAGAGGGAAGGCTATGGTTTGGAGTTCCTTCCCACAGGACATTGGTTAGAAGCCCCAGTGCCTTTGCACAGCAATAATGAACTTGCGCCTCGATCCCTGATGCAAAGGGCACAGGATTTCTGTCACTCCACATGCTGCCACACCAAAAAGCACTCCCTGCTATACTGTACCTTCCTCCGCTGCCTTGCAATTTGGGTGCCATGGTATAGGCCCCACTCAAGTGCCAAACTGCAGGGCAGGAAAATGGACGGTTGGATTCTATAGACTTTTCTAAAAGAAGTGGTTTTATTTATACAGATCTCTATAATAATAATAATGAAAATGAAAATAAATAAAAAGCTGTGATTACAAATGATAATGGGTCTTTATGCGTTAAGATGGGTATTAAGAGAAGTATAAAGCAGTGTTTCTCAACTTGGGGTCGCAAGGGGGTTTCAGAGGGGCCGCCAAAGTAAATCAGAAAGGGGCAGCCAAAGTCGATCTGATAGTCTTAGGAATCCCTTTCACGTGGTCATTTGGGTTCACAGTGCTGTCCAGATGTAGGTGAACTATATCTCCACTAAATCACTGTCAATTTGTCGCAAATCACTCCAGTATTTTCTGTTGGTCATTGGGGTTCTGTGTGAGTAGTTTGGCCCAATTCTGTCATTGGTGGGGTTCAGAATACTCTTTGATTGTAGGTAAACTCTAAATCCCAGCATCTACAACTCCCAAATATCAATGTCTATTTTCCCCAAACTCCACCAGTGTTCACATTGGGCATACTGGGCATTCCTGCCAAGTCAGGTCCAGATCCCATTATTGTTTGAGTCCACAGTGTTCTCTAGATGAACTACAACTCCAAAACTCAAGGTCAATGCCCACCAATCCCTTCCAGTATTTTCTGTTGGTCATGGGAATTCTGTGTGCCAAGTTTGGTTCAATTCCATCATTGGTGGAGTTCAGAATGCTCTTTGATTGTAGGTAAACTCTAAATCCCAGCAACTACAACTCCCAAATATCAACGCCTATTTTCCCCAAACTCCACCAGTGCTCACATTTAGGCATACTGGTATTTGTGCCAAGTCAGGTCCAGATCCATTATTGTTTTGAGTCCACAGTGCTCTCTGGGTGTAGGTGAACTACAACTCCAAAACCCAAGGTCAATGCCCACCATCCCTTCCAGTATTTTCTGTTGGTCATGGGAATTCTGTGTGCCAAGTTTGATTCAATTCCATCATTGGTGGAGTTCAGAATGCTCTTTGATTGTAGGTGAACTATAAATCCCAGCAACTACAACTCCCAAATGACAAAATCAATCCCTCCCCCGCCCCCAGCCCCACCAGTATTCAAATGTGGACGTATGGGGTATTTATGCCAAATTTGGTCCAGTGAATGAAAATAAACCCTGCATGTCAGATATTTACATTATGATTCATAACAATCGCAAAATTATAGTTTAACAAATTACTGCAAATTTGTTAAGTTGCAGAACTAAACAAATCAAGGACAAGGACGATAAATTATTTCCAAGTTCTGACCCCAAAAGAGCTAAGCAAAGGCACTTCGCAAGTTAAATGCTATCGTATACTCTGATCCGAAGACTGGAGACCTCGGTACACTCCTTCTATACCTGGGACGCTGTCCTCTTCCACCGAGCACGCAGCTTTGGGAGGGGCGCACATGGGGCGGTGAGGGAGGAAGGGGACACCCGCCTAGCCAGCCAGAGCAGCCGAATCAACCCTGGCGATCAATGGGGTGACAGATGTCGCCGCCAGATCGCCCTCACATCCAACAAGTTAAATGCATCCTTTTTCTCTAGCATCACCATCCCAAAGCCATGCCACCTTGAGCCTAAGCAATGTGCCAACTACGATGGGATTCAAAATAATTTACTTGTATTCAAAAGCATACTAAAACTCAGCAAGGAAGAACAGCTCTCAGCCCTGGTAAGTGGCACCTCTAGCTGTGCTCTGTCTCATTTGTCCCAAACCCAGAAAAAGTCATAAAAGAGGCAGATTGGTGTTTAAGATGTCTCGGGGTCCTCTTCAAGCAAAAACTCCTGGATTTCCCGCTTCATTGCAGCCCTGCAGAAACAGAGAAGGCATGGACCGAGATTGTATTTGACGCTATGGGAAAAGAGACTGCAAACTACAAGAAAAAGAAATTCTAACTAAATATTATAAAGAACTTCTTGGAAGTTAAGAGCTGTTTGAGCAGTGGGATGACCTTGGGAAGCCTTCTATTTGGACGTCTTTAAGCTTAGGTTGGAGGAGCCTCTTTTAGGCTTGCCTTATTTGTGCATTCCTGCATGGCAGAATGAGGTTGGACCAGATCGCCCCACAGGTCTCTGAGTGCTAAGACCCTGTGATTCTGTCACAGTCTCTCAATTCATTAATTCCTTTGCTATAAAATTCTGGCTCCTACCTGCATTGCCGATGCTCAGCTTCAGACTGGATGTACGGCGGGAGGGACTCCAAGCAGTTCTGCAAAGAAGGGATACTTTCTGAAGTAAACTGAACTCCCAACACCAGAGGACTAAAAAAAGATGAAGTATTTCCCATCAGTTTGGTGAAACCAAGATGGAAGTTGGAAAGGCCTTTCCCCTCCCTTATGAAGGACTGCAAAGCAGCACCTTCCTAATGCAATCTTCATTGGACTTCATTCCAGCACATGGCTGACTAAACTATAGGTAGAAATTGTAATTATCTAGATGTTCAATGTGTTGTCAAAGGCTTTCCAGGCCAGAATTATTGAGTTGCTGTGTGCTGCATTCTATCGTATCTCATAGAATCATAGAATTGGAAGAGACCTTGTGGGCCATCCAGTCCAACCCCCCAGAACACTATGGGTACTAAGACTATTAGATATAATGAATATAGACATATTGACATATCAATTCTCATGTCACTCCCCAAATCCTAAAAAGTAAACGGACTGGACACCCCTGAAATGCTTTTTGAAAAACAAAAATCTGGAAATAATAGTAGAAGAAGCTATTATATGAAATCCACGGAATGATTGAATTCAAACTTTAAAAGGACTAACACTATATAAATAACTCTCTTTTACCTTTACCTTAGATATTAATTCTTTGAGGCGAAGATAGGAAGTACCAAATTTCTGTTCCACTCTTGCTCTATTTTAGAAATCTTTTCTTTTCTTTCTCTCTTCTTTTAGAAATTAAGTTTTTTTCTTTATTTCTCACTTTATTTCCCACTTTTCTATACTCATGAAATGTTCCCCCTCTTTTATTGTAACACTACAGGTTTTTTTTTCTTCAGAATAAAAATTATAATTTTTTAAAAAAGATCATCTGGGGAGGCCCCACTCTCTGCCTCGCCTCTGTCTCAAACACGCTTGGCGGGGATAAGGGACAGGGCCTTCTCAGTGGTGGCCCCCCGCCTGTGGAACTCACTCCCCTGGGAAATTAGGTCATCTACATCCCTTCTCACAAGTGTTCGAAATAAATTAAAAAATAAATAAAATTCTTTCCTGACATTTCACCCACATCTATGGCAGGCATCCTCCGAGGTTGTGAGTTCTGTTGGAAACTAGGCAAGTGGGGTTTATATGTCTATGGAATGATGTCCAGGGTAGGAGAGAGAACTCTTGACTGTTTGAGGCAAGTGTGACTGTTACATTTGGTCAGCTTGATTAGCATTGAATAGCCTTGCAGCTTCAAGGCTTGTCTGCTTCCTGCCTCGGGGAATCCTTTGTTGGGAGGTGTTAGCTGGCCTTGATTGTCTCTCGTCTGGAATTCCCCTATTTTTGAGTGTTGTTCTTCATTTACCGCCCTGATTTTTTTTAGAGATTTTTCAAATACTGGGAGCTGGGTTTTCTTTATTTTCCTGTTTTCCTCCTTTCTGTTGAAATTGTCCACATGCTTGTGGATTTCATATTATTTGAGAACACAGAAATGCTGGAACACTCTAATAAATTACCATGTCAGACTATACAGAGAAGCCATTGAAATCCACAAGAAGAATGTGGACAGTTTCAACAGAAAGGAGGAAACCATGAAAGTGAACAAAATCAGTGTTTTAAAAACTCCAAAATCGGGACAGTAAAGAAAAAACAAAAGAAAAAAATCGGGACAGTAAAGAAAAATTCCAGGCAAGAGAAAATCTGAGCCAATTAACACCTACCAACAGAGAATCTCCCCAGACAGGAAGCAGCCAAGCCTTGAAGCTGCAATGCTAATCAAAATGATCAATTGCGACATTCACACTTGCTTCAAGCAGACAAGAGTTATTTCTCCCATACTGTATCTTCCACAGATATATAAACCTCACCTACTTAGTTTCCAACAGACCTCACAACCCCTGAGGATGCCTGCCATAGATGTGGGTGAAATGTTAGAAGAGAATGCTTCTGGAACATGGCCAGACAGCCCAGAAAACTCACAGCAACCCAGATCCAGATGTTAGGCGTCCATTCCCATAATTCCACATCATTGAGCAGATGGGATCTGCAATCCAGGCAAAGCGAGAGGACTGCCAAGCCACCACCAGAGGGTTGAACTAGATGACCTTTACAGATCCTTCCAAATCTATGATTTCAAAGCAACCCAAATGCAGCTAGATCTACACTTCCAGGGAGATTGTGGGATACTTCAATATTAGAAGTAGGATACCCCAGAAGCTATCAAATGTTCTGTCTCTTCCTTACCATATCTTTGGTGGTCAGGCGGCAGCTGTAGCAGAGGAATGGGAGGATCTGCGTATGAGGAGAAGAGTCCCTGCGGAAGAAACCAAACCGGCATTCAGTGCCTCTTATCCTCAGGCCACCCAAGAACCACAATCTGGTAATTCTATGGGAGAAAGTACTGTCATCTAAGGGTTTGGATTCCAAAATCTGATTCAAGTCCCTTGAACCATGGGGCTGACAACCCACAGGCAAGCCCCACCATTATATACAATGGTACAATTAAATATATCAAACTGCAAAAATAAAAGATTTCCTTTTGAAATTCAATATTATATTTTCTAGACATGGATGGCTGAATACATGAATGCAGAATCCACAGATGTGGAGAGTTGGCTCTATTTGTGAAGGAGGTAGACTGAAGAAAGAGCTAAGAAAGGGCGCATTTGGTGGGAACGAGAGACAGGGCCTTCTCTGTGGTGGCCCCTCAGCAATGGAACTCTCTCCCTCTTGTCCTTCAGGAGGCTAGTGAAATCCTGGTTATGGAACGAAGCATTCCCAGAATAATGGCTGAGACTGGTTACAGACCAAAGTGAGTGACCACATATGCGGACTGAGTTGAACATGATTTTACCTTGGCGATTTGGTATATATGTATTTTATCTATATGTATTTTATTCTTGCATTGTTGCATGATGTTTTAACTTGTATTAGTAGCCTTAAATCCTTGCTGTAAGCCGGTCTGAGTCCCTCTATGGAGGTGAGAAGATCGGGATATAAAAGTTTTAAATATGTAAATAAATAAATTATACGAGAGGCATTCATTAAAGATTTCCCCTGACCCACTTCTATTGATCACAGGATGCTGAAACTGCCCATGTGTAATGATATACATCTCTATAGGTTACGTGCCAATTTACAAAGGTCTTGATGTGACAGGTGCGGAAGTGGTGTGAGGTTTGAGAATGGACCAAATGGAAGACAGAGCAGTCAGTCCTCAAGTTCCTTTCCCTGAAAGGCTGCACACCAAAGGACATGTTCGATGAGATGAAAGAGGTTTGTGGTGATGCTTCCCCATCATATGATGCAGTCAAGGACTGGCATCATCAATTCCAATGTGGTCAGACTTCAGTGCAAACAGCTCCAATTCCAAGGCAGCCCCACTCTGCTCTTGATGAACACTAGAAAAGTTACAATACAAAAGTCTGCTTCTCCTTACCTGGTGACCCTAGGGCTTTGGCAGCACCCTGCTTGGTCCCCAGTCCCACCACAGCAGCCATCTGCACCAGGAGACGGAGAGGTCTTCTTCTTGCAGAGCTGTTCGGACAACAGTGTCGACTGCAAGGAAGAGCCATCCACTGTAAGGAGAGCAGAGTTACCAAGCAAAGCAGCCACCTCTTCCCTAAGAAGTTAATGCTCAGGAGGTGCAGCTGAGGTTGAGATACAACTTTGGTGTCTACGTTCTAAAAGGGTTTCTGCACTTCTGCTACTCTTCAACACAAAATTAGGGTGCTATAATACCAGAAGGTCTGTGTAGTCCAACCCCACAATGCAGCCATACGTAACCAAAGCATGTCCTGAGAGACGCCCTGCTTAAAGACTTCCAGAGATGGGGAATCCATCATCCCCCAAGGACAGTAAACTTCACTGGCAAACCACTGTTACAGTAAGCTGAGATCTCTTGTTATTTGAATCCAATGTGGATTTTATCAGAAATGTTAAAAATTAAGTACTGTATATACTCGAGTATAAGCCTAGTTTTTCATCCCCCTTTTGAGGCTGAAAAAGTTTCCCTCGGCTTATACTCGAGTCAAGGTTATTTATTATTTTACTTTGTTATTAGTATCATTTTATTACATGAATTATTTTAATATATTATTATTCTATTTACATTACTTTACTCTATTATTACTATTTTACTCTATTTATTATTAGTATTATTATTTATTTACTCTATTATTATTACATTTATTATTTCAGTTTATTTTTTATTGTTACTGCACTTATAATTTTACTCTGTTATTACTGTTATTACATTTCCATTATTTTACTCTATTATTATTATTATTATTATTATTATTTTACTATCTTTATTATTATTGGAAGGATACATAAGCACATTTACACTGAAGATTAGAATAATGATTCAATCAGAGCTGGACAGCCTTTTCTTAAATTACAGTTTTATGTAAATATTCAAGTACATTTAACCTACTGATGCCTCAATTAATGTAATTTTATTGGTATCTATTTTATTTTGAAATTTACCAGTAGCTGCTGCATTTCCCACCCTAGGCTTATACTCAAGCCAATAAGTTTTCCCAGTTTTAGTGGTAAAATTAGATGCCTCGGCTTATATTCGGGTCGGCTTATACTCGAGTATATACGGTAAGTATTTTTAATTACAAAAAGCACTGAAAGGGTTAAGTGGCTGCAATGACTCAGCAAAAGCTGTAATTCTATATAAACAGGTGTGCCTGTAGCTTAATTGCCCTCAGTCTGTGAGAGGTCTCTGTGGGAGAAGGGCCTCAGTGTGTTAGTAGGCCTCAGTCTGAGAGAGCCCTCAGTGTGAGATGGCCTCAGTGCGAAAAAGGCCTCAGTATGAGGTAGGCCTCAGTGAGAGAAAGGCCTCAGTGGGAGACAGGCCTCAGTATGAGGAAGGCCTCAGTCTGTGAGAGGTCTCTGTGGGAGAAGGGCCTCAGTGTGTTAGTAGGCCTCAGTCTGAGAGAGCCCTCAGTTTGAGATGGCCTCAGTGGGAGAAAGATCCCAGTATGAGGTAGGCCTCAGTGGGAGCTAGGCCTCAGTGTTAGTAGGCCTCAATATGAGGAAGGCCTCAGTCTGTGAGAGGTTTCTGTGGGAGAAGGACCTCAGTGTGTCAGTACATCTCAGTATGAGAAGGAGCCCCCGATGGCACAATGGGTTAAACCTTTGTGCGGGCAGGAATGAAGACTGACAGGTTGGAGGTTCGAATCTGGGCAGAGTGAGGATGAGCTCCCTCTGTCAGCTCCAGCTCCCTATGCAGGGACATGAGAGAAGCCTCCCATAAGGATGGTAAAGCATCTGGGCCTCCCCTGGACAACATCCTTGCAGGTGGCCAATTCTCTCACACCAGAAACAAATTTCTGTTTCTCAAATCGCTCGACATGAAGAAAAAAAATTATGAGAAGGCCTCAATGTTAGCTCGTCTCTCCCTGAGAGAGCCCTCAGTATAAAAAGGCCTCAGTGAGAGAAAGGCCACAGTGTGAGGCAGGCTTCTGTTTCAGTAGGCCTCAGTATAAGAACGCCTCAGTGTGAGAGGAAGCTCCAGTCCGAAGGCTGCTGTGTGTAAAAAGCTACTATGTGAAGATCCAGTGTAACCAGTGTGATAGATGGTGCTAAATCTAGGAGCCACAGTCCAAATGCACCTGGAAGGTGGCAGAATTCCCACCCCTTGAATAAACTCTGGAGAGTTCAAAAAGAGGCAACTACTACTGATCCAAGGGTTCTTCTCTATTTGGGACTAAGGATAGGATGTAGGCTATTGTTCTGTTATTCCTGCTGCTTCCAAGGCCAGTGCTTACCAACATTTGTGTCCAGCGAACAGAGGCAGAAGAGGCATTGGGTCGGTTCTGAAAGTCCCCCGGTGTCACCAGACAGCTTCTCCCCTGTCCTGTGGAAAAGACCAATCAAAGCAACGTTATTGTCCTTTTCTCTTTTAACGCTTCTTTCCTTTAAAGCTTTTCACATTTCAGAGAATATCTCAGATGCTGCTTCCTATATTTTAGCTCAAAGCTTTCCAAACTGTACGTTGGGACATGGTGGGTCCCCACCCCAACCCCACCAACAAAGGCAGCATCAAGGAGAGTGAGAAGGAGAAGGAAGAAGACGGGACTCCCAAAGGGCAACTAGTCCAACTCCCTTTAGCCAGACAGGAAGAGACAGTAAAAGCCCTCCTAACAGATGGCCATCCAGTTCAAAAACCAACAGAGGAGACTCCACTGGACTCCAAAGAAGTCTATACTTCACTAGAGTTCGAAGAGACCCCCAAAAGGGCATGTAGTCCAACCCTTCAGCCCTAGATGACCACTAAGCCTCCGCTTCGCCCACTCCTCTCCCCCCTCGCCTTGCTGGAGCCCCCCCCCCCCCCCCCCCCCCCCCCCGCTTCCCCACTGGCATGGGGCTCTCACCCGGTCGCCTGAGGAATAGCAACCAGGAAGAAGCACCGGGGGAAGATGCCTTGACAGCCCTCTCCAGCCCTGGAGGAATTTATTTATCGTGTCAGGAGCAACCAGACAGTTGTATTACATTTTTAACAAAACAAACAAATAGAGACAAAACACAAAGTTTGCAAGCTTGGTAGTTGATTAAATGTCCTTTGACCAGTATCTGGCCACTTGGAGTACCTCTGGTGTTGCTGCAAGAAGGTCCTCCATCGTGCATGTGGCAGGGCTCAGGTTGCATTGCAGCAGGTGGTCAGTGGTTTGCTCTTCTCCACACTCGCATGTCGTGGATTCCACTTTGTGGCCCCATTTCTTGAGGTTGGCTCTGCATCTCGTGGTGCCAGAGCGCAGTCTGTTCAGCGCCTTCCAAGTCGCCCAGTCCTCTGTGTGCCCAGGGGGGAGTCTCTCATTTGGTATCAGCCATTGATTGAGATTCTGGGTTTGAGCCTGCCACTTTTGGACTCTCACTTGCTGAGGTGTTCCAGCGAGTGTCTCTGTAGATCTTAGAAAACTATTTCTTGATTTAAGTCATTGACGTGCTGGCTGATACCCAAACAGGGGATGAGCTGGAGATGTCACTGCCTTGGTCCTTTCACTATTGGCTGCTACTTCCCGGCGGATGTCAGGTGGTGCAATACCGGCTAGACAGTGTAATTTCTCCAGTGGTGTAGGGCGCAGACACCCCGTGATAATGCGGCATGTCTCATTAAGAGCCACATCCACTGTTTAGTGTGGTGAGATGTGTTCCACACTGGGCATGCATACTCAGCAGCAGAGTAGCACAGCGCAAGGGCAGATGTCTTCACTGTGTCTGGTTGTGATCCCCAGGTTGTGCCAGTCAGCTTTCGTATGATATTGTTTCTAGCACCCACTTTTTGCTTGATATTCAGGCAGTGCTTCTTGTAGGTCAGAGCACGGTCCAGAGTGACTCCCAGGTATTTGGGTGCGCTGCAATGCTCCAGTGGGATTCCTTCCCAGGTAATCCTCAGAGCTCGGGATGCTTGTCTGTTCTTAAGGTGAAAAGCACATGTCTGTGTTTTAGATTGATTAGGGATCAGCTGGTTTTCCCTGTAATAGGCAGTAAGAGCACCTAGAGCTTCTGTTCAACCATCTCAAAGCTCCCTGCTTTGAGGAAGAAGCCCTAGGAAGCGACCGGGAAGAAGCCCTGGTGCCCTCTCCGCGCCCCCTCACTGGAGCCACTTCGGGGCTCATCACCAGCCACACACATACCTGTCTGTAACTCAGCAACTCAAGTCTGTGGCAGCATATACAGTGTTCCTTCGCTACTTGTATTTTAAATTAGTTTTTTTTGATAAACCGCAAAACAGCGAATCCACGGGAAGTGAACTGCGAAGTACCGAGGGAACACTGTACTAACAAACCAGAGGTTAAACCGACCCCTTATAAGACTTCCATAACACACATATATTATATATAATCAAATGTATATATAGTTTACCGATAGACAGTGCTGACCGTGGAGGGGAACTCAGACTGCAGCTTGTACAGGAAACTTTCAATCAGCCGGTGAATGCTGGCTCTCTCAGAAGCCTGGAGCAGAGAGTTGAGAGGCCATAAATAACTCCAGAATAGTATCCTGACAAATTTTATGTTGCTGTCAACATGCCCCATTATTAACGTATTTTTTATTATTCCTCCTCATGTTGCATTTTTATCATTTGATGTTTGATCAGACACTTCATTTTAAGACAGATTTGGACAGGTTGGTGCAGGTTCAGAGAAGGATGATAAAAAGTATGGAGACCACAACTTGGGAGGAAAGGTTGAGGGGAGTTGCTCATCTTGGAGAAGAGACTGCTGAGGGATGATAGTACTGCACTATTTGAATATCTTTAGAGTTGCCCCAGAGATTAAGAAACAGGTCAGTTCTCTGCTGGGACAGATCTAATGAGTTTTTTAAAATATTTTTTATTATTATCATAGTTCAATACATTTGTTATACATTGTTTATTTTACAGCAGATACACATTATTCAATACAATCTATCATTCTCCTTCCCTGATGATATTCCGCAGGAAATTAAAGACTTGGTTGTTCAAGAAGGCGTTCGAACAAGAAGTGCAATGATTGGTAATGACTACAGGAATGGAACAACGGAAAATGATACTGGATTGTGGTTTGGACGATGAGACGACACGGAATGACTTTCGTAGTACTGATGTTTTTTGATGATGATGTTTTTTGTTAATGCTGGATTGTGGATTATTTTATATTGTGTCTTGTATTTTGAACTTTGTTCTTTCTATGTTGTACACCGCTGTGAGTCGCCCCCGGGCTGAGAACAGCGGTATATAAGCAAAGTAAGTAAATAAATAAATAATAAATAAATACTTTAACTTTTGTCATCTACTGTTATTTTTCTGCTTATACATATTATCTATCTCTCACCACTGCACTCCCCTCCCCCCTCCCAAGCCAAAGCTTTTAAATATCATCTGTCCAAAATTTCAATTCTTCTTGTGGAGGTAATTTTCCTTCTTTCTTTTTACATCCCGTTTCTCCAAACATCATCAAAATCACTTTGTTTCCATATACCTCTTTTAACTTTTAATATACATGTCAGCTTATCATTTACTGCCAATTTCCACACTTCCTTGTACCACTCTATTTGTGTATTTATTTCTCTTTTCCAATTCGTTACTATAAGCAGTCTTGCTATTGTTAATAAGTTTGTTATTGCATCTTTATCCACTTTTTTCAATTGTTTATTATTATATAATGATAACAAGGCCATACTGGGACTTCTTTCTGTTTTAATGTTCATTATATCTTCTATTTCTCTAAATACTTACCCCCCCCCCTCAAATTATTTACATATTTACATTGCCACCACATATGTATATATGTTCTTGATTCTTGACATCCTCTCCAGCAATTTCTTGAGTTGTTTTTATTTACATTTGCTATTTTTACTGGTGTTAGGTACCATTTCCATATTAACTTATAGTAATTTTATTTAATCCGTATTGATAAATTTTTAAATGTCTTTGTTTCCATAATTGTTGCCACTGTTTCATTTCTTTTTATCCCTATATCTTCTTCCCAGAACTCCTTGAGGATGTTGTTTTTTGTTTTTCCTTCCTTTATTTCAATTATTATATACTTTAGTAGTTATTCCTTTCAAATTTTCATGCTCCTCTATAGCTCTTCCATTTTGTATTATTTGTTCTAAAAGATTAAACTTACCTCCATTTTTATTATTTTTACCCAGTTTTTAAACCATTATTCTCATTGTATACAATGGAACCATGTCAATTTTATTTCTCTAAATCTTTCCATAATTATTTCCTTCTCCATTCCAACCTTTATCCAATCCCTTATTTTGTCTATTTTTTTCCCTTAACATTTTATCCATTATTTTTTTTAAAAAAATTGGAAATTTCTTTTCCATTATAATTGAACTATCTGCTATTAACATTCTCCTATATTTGTTCCATACTTCTGATATATTGCTCAACATTGGGTTTCTAATTTCCCTAGTTAGGTCTAATGCAGGGGTCCCCAAACTAAGGCCCGGGGGCCGGATACAGCCCTCCAAGGTCATTTACCCGGCCCTCGCTCAGGGTCAACCTAAGTCTGAAACGTCTTGAAAGCGCACAACAACAACAACCCTATCTCATCAGCCAAAAGCAGGCCCACACTTCCCATTGAAATACTAATAAGTTTATATTTGTTAAGCTTGTTCTTCATTTTAATTATTATATTGTTTTTAAGTGGTTTTTGCACTACAAATAAGATATGTGCAGTGTGCATAGGAATTCATGCATGTTTTTTTTTCAAATTATAATCCGACCCTCCAACAGTTTGTGGGACTGTCACCTGGCCCTCTGTTTAAAATGTTTGAGGACCCCTGGTATAACGGGCTTAAGTTATAAGAGGGTGGGTGTCAACTGAACTCTAAAGTGGATTTCTTGATAGCAAGAATGATCTGGCAGTGAAACCAAATGTTTAAAGAGATTATTGGGTCTTCTTTTCTGGACATCTCCCACCTGGATATGCCTTAGCATTGAGCAGGTGAAGCAGGAACCTGGGCTCAATTGTCTATGGGGTTCCTTCCAACTCTAAGAGTGCCCGGCTGTACAATCTAATTTCCTCAATGGCAAGATGGGAAAGAAAGGCAGCTTTCATGCCAGAAGGAGGCAAAGGTCTATATCAGGAGTCCTCAAACGTTTTAAACAGAGGGCCAGGTCTCAGTCCCTCAAACTGTTGGAGGGCTGGATTATAATTTGAAAAAAACATTAATGAATTCCTATGCACAGTGCACATATTTGTAGTGCAAAAAACAGTTCAAAACAATACAATAATTAAAATGAAGAACAATTTTAGCAAATATAAGCTTATTAGTATTTCAGTGGGAAGTGCTTTTGGCTAATGAGATAGGATTGTTGTTGTTGTTGTGTGCTTTCAAGTTGTTTCAGACTTAGGTTGACTGTGAGTGAGGGCCAGGTAAATGACATTGGGGGGCCATATCCGGCCCTCAGGCCGGAGTTTTGAGGACCCCTGGTCTATATCATCACCTTCTCTCCTGGAGTCATGGAGGGACCTGTGGGCACCCAACAAGGTCCTTGGATGACAACTGATCCTCTGTTCTGCTAAAGGAAATGCCAAACCACAGCCCTCTTACCTTGGTGTCCAGTGCAGGTATGAAGACGGAGGGCACGCCAAAGAGGCGGTTGTAGAAGGCAATCTCTTTGGCAGGGTACTCCCGCATTGGGCGCAGGAACAGCACATCACCGTACCGGTTGTCCGAGAAGCCCTTTTGAAGAGGGGAGCAGAACAGGAGGTGATAAATAAGAATGGAGAGAAATCCCAGAACAATTGTCACTTGTCTTTGCACAAAGACCAAAAAGTAAATTGGTCCCATTTCTGCCTTGCCTCTCCTCCCAACGTCATTCCCTTCTCCAAACTTTCCTGTCTTCTCATTATGTGGCCAAAGGACTTCATCTTTGCCTCTAATATCCTTCCCTCCAGTGATAAGAAGAAAATATAAGCTATAAGTTACCCAGTCAGGAGACTGAGAAATAATTGCATTTTAAAAGTGAAGAAAGTTACCAAACCAAGTTGGCATAAGATAAGCCATTCTGAATGTTATATAGTAACAGTTTTATTCATTCATAAGCCAGTTGTAACAATATCCAGGAAGTACTGTGAAGAAAAATACTGTGTAACCAATGTGCTTTAAGTGCCTGAGAATCAATAAATAAACATTTCTTTGTTCTATTATTACATTAAAGACTTGTGTCACATTACTGAATTGAAGATATATTCCAGGAAGACAGCTGAAGATCATATTGGAGCTGAATACAGTACAGTATTTGGTTACACATTTTGAAGTGACACATACAAACATTTTAAAGAGAAAACATACAAACAAAACAGATATAATATAATAAAAGGTGTTGGTGTCATCACACAGGGGGTTGGACGAGATGGCCCATGTGGTCTCTTCCAATGCTGATTCTATGATTTTGCCTTGAATGAAAACTATGGTGTCAACTTATGCACAACCTCCTTAGACAGGGAGAAATCATAGTACTCAGCTCAAAGTCTGAGCGCTCTCCAACCTAAATGCAGCTTGTTATCCTATTTCTTCTTTTGTTGCCTTTTCTTTGTAATCATGCTTCAAACATCCCTCCTCCACACATTCATACACACTTGCATTATTTACCGTATCTGCAGCAAGAAAGGCCCCGCGTCCTAGGCAGAGGTTGGTTAGGAGCTTGACTGCCACACGGGTGCAGCTTTCTCCCATCATCACCTTGCTGTATCCATGTGTCCGCGCCACGTGGAGGATGAGGTGGGTCCTGAAAAAGAGGAGGATCAAAGCCAAATGCTAAACCATTCAGCTTTCTCTCAAAGCTGTCAGCATATCAGAGCTTGGAAATGTTTCTAACTGGGGGATTCTGGGAGTTGTAGTCCAAAAAAAGTACTTTACCTAACCCTCTTTTTAAAAAAACGCAGAATCTCTTAATAGTCAAAGTAACAGGGTGGTTTCGGAGGGGGTTTGCTATTGCCTTCCTCTGAGGATGAGAAAATGTGACTTGTCCCAGGTCTGCCAGTTTCACGGCTGAGTGAGAATTCAAACCCTGGATTCCCAAACCTAACCCACGTCCCTAATTCACAACATCAGGCTGGCTTGTCATGGTTTACAAAAGATTGATCGCCCATTCCACAGAGCAATGCATGTTTGGAATTGGATGCACACTCAGAACTAGAGGAGCCCAATTCCCCATATATAAAGTATTTATTTATTTGTGACATTTATATGCCACCCTTCTCACCCCGAAGGGGACTCAGAGGCTTACAAGTAATATACAATACAATAAATAAAATAAATGCAACATCTTCTTGTATCCCTCTCTTTACTCTGGTCCCAGAGTAGCAGTTGGTGTTGGTGGGAGAGGCTCCCAACTGATGACACTGAAGACAAGATGACACTGTCTTCTTGGCCCCTCTCTTTACTCTGGTATACACAACATTAAAGGTATGCTTATTCAGCAGAGCAATGCATCAATCACAGCACTCCAAACAGGGAAAATAATCCCCCCTTGTTGGAAATTACAACCTTCTTCAATTATTTATTTAGAGCTTTTATATTCTGTCCTATCTCAACCTCTGCAGAGGGATTTAGGACGGCTAAAAATCGGCACCCCATGGCACCACATCAAAACATAAATATACAATTTAACAGCAATATAAAACAATATAAAATGGTATAAAACAGTATAAAACAATATAAAAACAATCAAGCCTCCTCTAGTGACTTGTCTGCATATAATCCTGTTGTTTACTTACTGTATGTATGTTCTGATGTGCAGCTTTTTTCTTCTTTACTCTATGTTTTCCTGATAAGTTGTGGGAGGGATTGAAGAACCCCACATGATCTGATCTAAGAAGAGCACAGAGCTCAGACTCCATTTTAGACATCAGACTCCATTAGACTTTGGGACTGCTCAGACAAACACTAGCCTGCTGTTGATTGTAAAGAGAGATGTCCTGTGCCATCTGCACACAGAAGCTATCTTAAACATATCTATGTTACTTTTATCAAAGTCTATTTCATTTTTGTCTCTTGAGTGCATGACATAAAACAAATTGTTTTATGGGAGAGCAGATATATTTTTGGGCACTGAAAAACACTTCTGAAGCATTTTTTTTTTTTTTTGCACTGGCATATTCTCCGCTTTCCTAACAGATCAGAAATAACAGGTTATTCAGCCTAACAACTGAAAGCCAAACTGCCTTACATAATTACATCTGGTTGTGTACCACTTGAGAAGATTCTAATCAAATGGGTTTTTGGCTCTTCCATGAAAGGTCATGCTTTTCCAAAAGGTTATGATCTCCAAATGGGTTATGAATGCCATTTTCTAGAGTCCCTTCACTCACCGGAGGGTCTGTAATAATTCTTCTTTGGCCGTCAGAGTTTTCACAGTCTGAAAGAGATTGATCAGTTCCTCTGTATGGGAAACTGCGGGCACCTCCTTTCCTGGATCTACAAAATCTTCTTCCTTGGAAGAGTCTTGCAGGTTAAACTCTCCCTGCTGGTCCTTCAAAAAGAGTTCTCCTGCATCTCTTTCCTTTTCACGCTGCTGTTTTATGAAGTCATCTACAGCTTCCTTATAGGTGTGGCTCTGGTCAGGTATTTCATGGGAAACTGAGTGGAGGACAGAACTGGAAAGGTCAAACACCTGTAAAAGAGCACACAGAGGCCATGAGCATGTGCTGCTACAAACACAGATTGATACTATATTGGCTAAGGCAGAAATTAAAGGAGCATTAGGTCTTCCTTCCTTTATTTATTTACTTATAGTATTTGTATACCGCTTTTCTCACTCCAAGGGGGACTCAAAGTGGTTTACACACAAGTCATGGCAAAAATTCAATGTCAGTACAAACAATTACAATTATACACTTCAATTAAACATATATCAAATTAAAACAATACATCCATAAGCAATAAAACAATCATTAAAGCAATAAAACAGTCTCATCCGTCATAGTCTTTCCAAAATGCTGCATTCATTTACAGCATGGGACTACTGCCTGAAGGCCTGGTCCCAAAACCATGATTTTAATTTTTTTCCTAAAAGCCAGGAGGGAGGGAGCGGATCTTACCTCATTTGGGAGTGTGTTCCATAGGCAGGGGGCCACAGCCAAGAAGGCCCTGTCTCTCGTCCCCGCCAGGCGCATCCGTGCTGTTGATGGGAGCAAGAGCAGGGCTTTCCCGGATGATCTTAGACGTAGGGGTGGGACGTAGGGGTGGATGCGTTCGGACAAGTAAGCTGGGCAAGAACCATATAGAGCTTTATAGGTCAAAACCAGCACTTTGAATTGGGCTCGGAGTTGGACCGGCAGCCAGTGGAGCTGGCATAACAGGGGGGTAGTATGCTCCCTGTATGCCACCCCAGTTAGTAATCTGGCTGCCACCCGTTGAACTAGCTGAAGTTTCCGAGCCGTCTTCAAAGGCAGCCCAACATAGAGCGTGTTGCAGTAATCTATTCAGGATGTAACTAGAGCATTACTCAATCAATTCACCTGCCTTCCACTTTACCAAGAATTATCACCCGTTTTCAATGAACCATGGAGATCTATCCAAAGCATCACGTTTCATTTTTTATCTATTACAGATTTGAGAAGCAAAAGATTTTAAGGAAAGGGTTATTAAGGGGGTAATGTACTGTTTACATTGCACTGTTTTCTTAAGAGGCTTTTAAACATGTTTTTGTTTCTAGTGTCATTAGTAATTAATTTCTATCATCACGTAAGCTGCTTTGAGTCCCAGTTTTAGGGAACAGGCAAAGTATAAATCAAGATAATGATAATAATAAAGTTGATACCAGCCACCAGGCCCCTTTTCACCTTACCTCTTCCAAATGCACCAAGTGATAGGGGAACCCAGTGGTTTGCAAGATCCTTTCCACTTCACTACAGATGTCCTCTCGAGCAGCCATGCTCTGTCCACACACAGCTCCTTCTATGAGGCAAGAAGGAAGAGAATTTCACATACCTACATCACTGTCTCCGTCTCTGGACTCAACCTTCATTATCCCAAAATGCTCTCCAAACAAGTGCCGCTTACCATCAATGTAGACGATTCCTGGCTTGAAGCGGAGTTTCTTGGCTGCTCCTTGACTCAGGCCCTGAAAGAAGAAAGCAGGGTACAGCTTTGGTTTGGTGAACTGAGACACTGGACTGAAATGATGAGCATTTCAGAATGAGAGAAAATCTACTTTCCTAAACAGACCAAGAATCTATCTGTTGGTTGAGTGGGATTATTAACAAGAGACCCTCCCCATAAATGTACAGCAGAGTAACTTATCAGCAATAGTGTGACCCAGCACCAGTAGCCAAAAATGATTTAAAAAAAACAAAAAACATACAGACCAATGTTATCTCTTCCAAAGGAGGCTTTTCTTTATAGCAAAATAATATGGTTGCACTATTTACAAGAACAAGATTTCCATAACACAAATAAAGTTCAACTTTCACACTGGAGTTTTACACACAAGGCCTTCTCATATCGATGCTTACCTCACACTGAGGCCTGTTCTTCCACTGAGGTGTTCTCTCACACAGAGAGGTTTCTCTCACTCTGCAAGCTCTCTCAGACTGAGGGCAACTAAGCAATAGGCACACCTGCTTATACTGAACTGCAGCTTTGCTGAGTCATTGCATCCATTTATCCCTTTCAGTGCTTGACTCATATTTTTGTAATTAAAAATATCTAGTTAATTTTTAATATTTCTGATGCTATCATACCACCAAATTAACCAAGAAAAGCTTCAGGAAAAATAGTGATGACCCTGAGGTTGAACATTCCTTTTTTTCATGTTGTTATACCTAAAGTATAACTGATAACTGGCAAATAGAGGGAGAAAACATGGAGGCAGTGACAGACTTTGTATTTCTAGGCATGAAAATTAATACACATGCAGACTGAAGCCAGGAAATTAGAAGACATTTACTTCTTGGGAGGAGAACAATGACCAATCTCGATAAAATAGTGAAGAGTAGAGAGATCACGCTGACAACTAAGGTCCACATAGTTAAAGCAACTTGTGGATGCGAGAGCTGGACCATAAGGAAGGTTGAGCAAAGGAAGAGGGATGCTTTTGAACTGTGGTACTGAGGAAAATTCTGAGAGTACCTTGGACCGCAAGTAGATCAAACCAGCCCATCCTCCAGGAAAGAAAACCCGGCTATTCACTGGAGGGGAGGATATTAGAGGCGAAGATGAAGTACTTTGGCCACATAATGAGAAGACAGAAAAGTTTGGAGAAGGGAATGATGCTGCGGAAAATGGAAGGAAAAAAGATGAGGGGCTGACCAAGGGCAAGGTGGGTGGATGGTATCCTTGAAGGGACTGACTTGATCTTGAAGAAGCTGGGGTGGCCATAGCTGACGGGGAGCTCTGGCCTGAGCTGATCCAGGAGGGCACCTGAGCAACTGAACGCATAAACAACAAATACCTAAAGTTGACATTGGTTCCTAACATTCGAGAATGATTTCTTCTGAAAAACCACTCAGCCCTTTGAAGGATTTTAAAATATATTATACTTGTTTTACTAATGATTATTTTGTAATGTACTGTGCTATTGCCCTGCAGCTTGATGCACTTGATCATTATAGGCAGATACCTCTTGCACTTGCCGCACCATCGAACTTGAGGCAGGGCCACCCGAAAAAGCGAGGAGAACCTGAAGCACAGAAGGAAAACAACCAATTAGGAGGAAAATGTGGATCAAGTTTCTTTCAGCTGAATTTTTCTCATCCCTTCTCCAAAAGAAGTAACCCCTCTAGATAATAACCTTTTCTCCAGGATAGATGCATCGATTTTTCCCAAGAGTGGCACGAAACTTGTGGATGTAATAATCCTTGAAACAGGTCCTGCAAAACAAAATAGGTAGATCATGCAATCGGATGGAAAGAAAAGCCAGGATCCTAAACACTTATCTCAATGGAAATAGGTAACTTTTTAAAATATCAAAAAACCTTGCAAGCCAAACCTGTGTCCCTGCTGTGGCAAGATATAGCAGCACGTCAGTTCTGTGTTCAGCTCATTTTTTTCTCATGATATTTAAGAGATTGGGGCATTATGCAGGGGCAAAATGGTCTTGTAATGGGTTTGACTCCTATTAAGTAGAATTTGGGGGTGAGGGGCTTCAAAGTAGAGCCTGGAAGATCTCATGATAACTACAGGTCACATCGTCCATCCTACACCTAGCAAACATCAAGACACCTGCTCATTACAATGTTCAGGGAGTGAAGTGGCATTGCAACTTCTTACACAGCTACCAGGAAATTAAACATGTTTGTTGAGGTCAGGATCACTTGCTCTTTTCATCTATCTGGAATCAGCAAGGGGTTCTTCCCCATCTAATAGCAATACTACTGACGGACTGGGGTCTGACTGTTACTGTGCTGGGTTCTTATAGCAACAATTGACCACCACACTTACTTGCAAAAAGCGTCTCCAACACGAATGATTAACACCGGGGAACCTTCTTTGCACTTCATGCATTTCAAGGGGCGGCTGAGGAAAGAGAAAAACTGGGTTGGGAAGGGCTATGACAACATATAAAAATGTCTGCAAGCAAGAGGAATACTGAAGGGAACTCTCCGCCCATTACATTATCTTTGTAAGGGATAAGGCAGATCACGGGAATTTCGGTTGACAGTTATCCACCATTTGAACATACCCAAAGCAGAGTATCTGGAATGTGGCCTTCAAACTGGAAAAACACATTCAAATTAATAGATAAACACTCAAAAAGGCCACCCAACTTAAATACTAGCCTCCATATATGGCAACACAATTTATTTGTGACGTATGGTCACAAATAAATGCAGCCTGGTTAAAATGGCAGCAAACTACGAGCATTCTTGTGACTCAAAAATGCCTGAACAACTCAAGGCTAAGATCCACACTACAGTTGTCTGCCCATTAGCCTCCCTTCTACAGGGCAGAGTACAGGTCAACAACAAAGAAATGTGGAAAAGCCTTTAATACAATGGAAATGGTGAGATGGATACTTAGCTTGACACTTCTTGACCATGTGCCAAATGATGACATCCATCAAAAACTAGAAATAAAAGCAATCAGCAAAAAAATGCAGGAAGCAAGACTATGGTAGTATGGCCGTGTCATGAGAAGAGAACCAACATCAGTAGCACAAACAACACTGCAACACTGCAGCTGTCCACATGATTGTAGGAAAATCACGTGGACAAAGGAAATTGTAGGAAAATCACGTGGATGCTGTCCCAGAAGGGGCATGGAAGTTTCTCCAGACCTGTCCTTTATACCGTATATACTCGAGTATAAGCCGACCCGAATATAAGCTGAGGCACCTAATTTTACCACAAAAAACTGGGAAAATGTATTGAATCGAGTATAAGCCGAGGGTGGGAAATGCAGCAGCTACTAGTAAATTTCAAAATAAAAATAGATACTAATAAAATTATATTAATTTAGGAATTAGTAGATTGGATGTTTTTGAATATTTACATAAAACTGTAATTCAAGATAAGACTCTCCAACTCTCATTAAACCATTATTCTAACCTTCTTCAATGTAAATATGCTTACATGTCCTCCAATAATAATATATAGAGTAAAATACTAATAATAGAGTAAATTAATAAATGTAACAATAACAATAATAAATAGAGTAAAATAATAAATGTAATAATAACAATAATAAAATAATAAATGTAATAATAATAGTAATACTTTGGCCATCCCTCATTGGCCGAGTAGGACAGTCTTCCAGAATCAGAATTCTTGTGAGTCTGTAGGTGACTGTGGAGCCCTATTCTTGATCTGCATCTTCTCCCACAGTGAGGGCATTGGTTTCCAGGTGGAAAGCGGTCCTGGTCGGGGTTGGTTTGATGTGCCTTTCTCTTGGCACATTTCTCTCTTTCACCCTCCATTCGTGCCTCTTCAAATTCTATGCAGCACTGCTGGTCACAGCTGACCTCCAGCTGGAGCGCTCAAGGGCCAGGGCTTCCCAGTTCTCAGTGTCTATGCCAGAGTTTTAAAGGTTGGCTTTGAGCCCATCTTTAAACCTCTTTTCCTGCCCACCAACATTCTGTTTTCCATTCTTGAGTTCGGAGTAGAGCAACTGCTTTGGGAGACGGTGGTCGGGCATCTGGACAACGTGGCCAGTCCAGCGGAGTTGATGGCGGAGGACCATCGCTTCAATGCTGGTGGTCTTTGCTTCTTCCAGCATGCCTGACGTTTGTCCGCCTGTCTTCCCAAGAGATTTGCAGGATTTTCCAGAGGCAGCGCTGATGGAATCGTTCCAGGAGTTGCATGTGATGTCTGTAGACAGTCCACATTTTGCAGGCATATAGCAGGGTTGGGAGGACAATAGCTTTATATTATTATTATTATTATTATTATTAAACTTTATTTGTACCCTGCTAGCTTCTCCCAAAGGACTCGATGCGGCTTACAAAGGCCAAGGCCTCAACAACACAATAGCATAACAATACAATTCAAAGCAAATCAAAAAATTAAAGCAATAATAGTAAAAATAACAAAACAATACAGCATAACACAATAAAAACAGGGCGGGCCAAGTAATGGGTACAGATTAAAAAGTGCTGGATGTGACAGGTGATCTATCGGATTTCAAGGAAGTGCAGTGTGCAGAGAATCTTAAAGTTCTGATAAAGTGCTTCTGGGACTCTAATAAAGTGCTTACTGGAGTCTCCTATTCTGGAAAGGCACATCGGAACAGCCAGGTCTTCAATTTATAAACAAGCCCCTGGGTGTCCCGGTCCTCAAACACTCTCTGCTTCATTCGGAAAACTGCTGCACTCGCAGAGCTCAGGTAGTGTTGTATTTAATAATAAACGGTTCCGGCCCAAGATACCTATCTGACCGCATCTCGGCCTACGAGCCCACAAGAACTTTGAGATCGTCCGGGGAGGCCCTGCTCTCGATCCCGCCTGCCTCACAGGCGCGCCTGGCGGGGACGAGACACAGGGCCTTCTCGGTGGTGGCTCCTCGGCTGTGGAACATCCTTCCCGTGGACATCAGACTGGCTCCTTCCCTGATGATATTCTGCAGGAAATTAAAGACCTGGCTGTTCAAGAAGGCGTTCGAACAAGAAGTGCAGTAATTGGTAATGACGACAGGAATGGAACAACGGAAAATGATACTGGATTGTGGTTTGGACGATGAGACGACGCGGAATGGTTTTTGTAGAAATTATGCTACTGTTTTTTGTATAATGTTGTGAATTGTTTTTATCGTGCTTTGAATATTGTTGCTTTCATGTTGTACACCGCTGTGAGTCGCCCTCGGGCTGAGAACAGCGGTCTATAAATAAAGTAAATAAATAAATAAATAATAACAACAACAAAGTAAAATAATAAATAACACTGACTCGAATATAAGCCAGGGAGACTTTTTCAGCCCAAAAAAAAGGACTGAAAAACTAAGCTAGTACTCGAGTATATACAGTAATCAGGTGTCTTCAGGCTCCAATCTATTTCTGTTGGACTACAACTCCCATCTCCCACTGCTGCCTGGCTTGTGAAGCCTACCTTCTCCGGGGAGGCCTCCATAACTGCCCTCCGCCGCAGTCTCCTTCTTCAGCTTCGCACATTTCGGCCACTTCCGCTTGAAAAGACTCCACTTCCGCTCGAAAGAGCAAACCTTCCGGCGCGGACTTGAGACGTCACTTTAGCCACTTCTCTTCATGGACTAACTTGGGCATTCCCTCCGAGGGCGGAAGTAGAGGCCAAGTTTTGCCCGCGTCGCCGAGACGTGCCGTCACTTCCGCTTCTGGGCTTCCGCTTTCTTCTCCCTCCGCGTCTTTTCTTTCTTCAATGGCGGCGGCGATGTTTCGGAGCCTGCTGGTCTCGGCGGGAGGGTCCCGGGAAGCGCCGCCGCCTCCGCCTCCTCCTCCTCCTCCTCCGGCGGGCGCCTCCTCCGCTTCTTCCTCCTCCTCCTCGGCCCAGGCCCACCACCCTCCACCCGAGGCTGCGGCTCTGGAGGCCCAGTTCAGCTGCCCCATCTGCCTGGAGGTCTACCAGAGGCCCGTCCGCATCGCCTCCTGCAGGCACTCGTGAGTCCGGGGTGGATTGGGGCCTAGGCAGCAGGGGAGGAGGCAGGGAATAATAATCTTAATCTATATAAATAAAGATTAACAGAACTCAAAAACCACTGGGGGAATTGGACGAGTAAGATGGTCTTCCATCATGGGTTTCCTTGTGGGTCCGTAGGTGGCTGTGGAGCCCTATTCTTGCTCTGCATCTTCTTCCGCAGTGAGGGCATTGGTTTCCAGGTGGAAGGCGGTCCCGGTCGGGGTTGGCTTGACGCGCCTTCCACCTGGCACGTTTCTCTCTTTCACCCTCCACTCGTGCCTCCTCAAATTCTGTAGCACTGCTGGTCACAGCTGACCTCCAGCTGGAGCGCTCAACGGCCAGGGTTTCCCAGTTCTCAGTGTTTATGCCAGAGTTTTTAAGGTTGGCTTTGAGCCCATCTTTCAATCTCTTTTCCTGTCCTCCAACATTCCGTTTTCCGTTCTTAAGTTCGGAGTAGAGCAACTGCTTTGGGAGACGGTGGTCAGGCATCCGGACAACATGGCCGGCCCAGCGGAGTTGATGTTGGAGGACCATCGCTTCAATGCTGGTGGTCTTTGCTTCTTCCAGCGCACTGACGTTTGTCCGCTTGTCTTCCCAAGATATTTGCAGGATTTTCCGGAGGCAGCGCTGATGGAATCGTTCCAGGAGTTGCATGTGACGTCTGTAGACAGTCCACGTTTCGCAGGCATAGAGCAGGGTTGGGAGGACAATAGCTTTATAGACAAGCCCATTGGTATCCCTATGGATGTCCCGGTCCTCAAACACTCTCTGCTTCATTTGGGAAAATGCTGCACTCGCAGAGCTAAGGTGATGTTGTATTTCGGTGTCGATGTTGACTTTGGTGGAGAGGTGGCTGCCAAGGTAGCGGAAATGGCCACATTTCTAATGTTACACCATTAAGCTGTATCTCTGGCATTGGGGAGGGGATGGCTGGTGACTGCTGGAACAGCACTTTGGTTTTCTCAATGTTCAGTGACAGGCCAAGCTTCGTGTATGCTTCTGCGAAGGTGTTTAGAGTGGCTTGTAGATCTTCTGAATGCGCACAGACGACATTGTCACCAGCATACTGTAGTTCTGTAACAGATGTTGTTGTAACCTTGGTTTTGGCTTTCAGTCTGCTGAGGTTAAACAGCTTGCCATCTGTCCGATAGATGATTTCCACTCCAGTGGGAAGCTTCCCGTCAACAAGGTGAAGTATCATAGCGATGAAGATGGAGAATAAAGTTGGGGCAATAACACATCCCTGTTTGACACCTGATTCCACCTTAAATGGGTCACTTTGCCATTGCTGTCCAAGACTGTTGCCATCATGGAGGAGCCGCAGGAGTTGTAGTTCCTGGGATTTGTAGTTCATATACAATCAAAGAGCATTCTGAACCCCGCCAATGATGGAATTGAACCAATCTTGGCAGACAGTTCTCCCATGACCAATAGAAAATACTGGAAGGGTTTGGTGGGCAGTGTTTTTTGGTTTTGGGGGAATAATAATAGTAACACTTTATTTGTACCCCGCTACCATCTCCCCAAGGGACTTGGTGCGGCTTACATGAGGCCAAGCCCAAACACACAATACAAGCAATAATCACAACAATACAAGCAATTAAAATAAAACATAAACATATAACATTATCAATAAGACAACATACAATTAAAACTATGGGAAGGCCAAATGTAAAATTAAAATTGGAAATAGTGCTGAACATGGACGAACAGGTGATAGTGGCGTTTGTGGAGAGACATATGGGCAGACCTAAAAAATGTAAAGTGCTTTTGAGGGACAAAGTGCTATGGGATCATTAATCCAGGAAGGCACACTGGAACAACCACGTCTTCAAGCTCCTCCTGAAAACTGCCAGAGTTGGCCTGTCTGATGTCCTTAGGGAGTGAGTTCCAGAGTCGAGGGGCCACCACCGAAAAGGCCCCGTTTCTCGTCCCCACTAATCGCGCCTGCGATGCTGGCAGAATAAAGAGCAGGACCTCTCCAGATGAACGAAGAGATCGTGTGGATTCGTATACATAGATGCGGTCACGCAGGTAGGCGGGTCCCAAACCGTTCAGGGCTTTGTAGGTAAGAACCTGCACCTTGAATTGGGTCCGGTAAATGAATGGCAGCCAGTGGAGCTCCTTGAACAGGAGGGATGACCGCTCTCTGTAAGGAGCCCCAGTTAACAATCTGGCTGCTGCCCATTGGATCATCTGAAATTTCCGGGCCGTTTTCAAGGGAAGCCCCACATAGAGTGCATTGCAGTAATCCAGTCTAGAGGTGACTAAGGCGTGGACCACCTTGGCCAGATCCACCTTCCCAAGGTACGGTCGCAGTTGGCGCACGAGTCTTAACTGTGCAAAGGCCCTCCCGGCCTCCACCGACGCCTGAGCCTCAAACGTAAGTGAAGAATACAGGAGGACCCCCAAACTGCGGACCTGTGATTTCAGGGGGAGTTGTAGATTTCAGGGGGAGTTGATCCAGAGATCACTGTGGACTCAAACAATGATGGATCTGGACCAAATTCTACACAAATACTCAATATGCCCTAATGTGAACACTGGTGGAGTTTGGGGAAAATAGAATCTTGACATTTGGGAGTTGTAGTTGCTGGGATTTATAGTTCACCTACAATCACAGAGCATTCTGAACCCCACCAACAATAGAATTGGGCCAAACCTCCCACACAGAACCCCCATGTGGACCACAGCAACGCGTGGCAGGGGACGGCTAGTCTATATAAATAAACATGTTATATCCGTTTGTGGGTTTAACAGAACTCAAAAACCACTGGACGAATTGACACCAAATTTGGACACAATATACCTAACAGTCCAACGAGTGTCCATCACCCATAAACACACAAGCGTGCACAAAACCCCAGCGGAACAGAGTTAAAAACCCAAAAAATACACCATATATACATATACACATACACTCATGTACATATGCACATGCATACATTCTAACCTAGGATTCTGTATAACAACTATGGGAAATCTATGAAGTCTGCAAATTATGATGTGGGACTTGTAAGCTTTTAACCTATTACTCTTTTAATTGTTTTATAATTTTATATGGTATGTTCATTGCTATGTGCACGATGTGGCATTGAATTTTTGCTGTAATTTTTAAGCCGCCCTGAGTCCCTTTCGCGGTGAGAAGGGTGGGGTATAAATATAGTATTTTTTTGTTGTGTCAGGAGTAGTCGCTTCTGGTGTGAGAGAATTGGCTGTCTGCAAGGATGTTGTCCAGGGGACGCCCGGATGATTTGATGTTTTTATCATCCTTGTGGGAGGCTTCTCTCATGTAGGTTTTTTCGGGCTATATGGCCATGTTCTATAGGCATTCTCTCCTGACGTTTCGCCTGCATCTATGGCAAGCATCCTCAGAGGTAGTGAGGTCTGTTGGAACTAGGAAAGTGGGTTTATATAACTGTGGAATGACCAGGGTGGGACAAAGAACTCTTATCTGTTGGAGCTAGGTGTGAATGTTTCAACTGACCACCTTGATTAGCATTTGATGGCCTGGCAGTGCCTGGGGCAATCTTTTGTTGAGAGGTGATTAGATGCCCCTGATTGTTTCCCCTCTGCTGTTTTGCTGTTGTAATGTTGTCTCATGTTCAACTTGTAGTCTACCAAGACTCCTAGATTCTTTTCGCACAGATTGTTTGTTAGATGAACCTTCCATGGTTGGGTTAACAACTGTGTCGACTAGTGTGAGTATCCTACCTATGGTCACTGCCTAATCCTTTAATGTTGCTTATTGGGAAGTCTTCCGGAAGAGATTTTGCTAGCAGATAAGCACAGAGCAGCCTTGGAGGTTCATGCTGAAAAGTAAGCAAGTCTTTCCTGGCCAAGGAGGAGGAAGCAGGCGGCATCTTGTTTAGTGAAGCAGGAAGGAGAAAAGAACAAGCCACTCGTTCATTTAGATCTCTTGAAAGGCCAGTCTGTTTGCCCTCTCCTCTTTGTGCTTTCCCTGAGGTCTGTTTCTAGTCCGCTGGTTCGTTTGCGGAGCTGCTTTTGCCTAATTAAAACAATAGAGCCCTCGAGAATCAAAATACCCAAGTCGCCATGATCTCTGATCCCTGTTTGTTGCTGCCCTTCAGTTTCTGAAAGTCATTATCTGGCCCAAAGCTTGTTGCTTCAATTCCAGTTGACTTTTTAAGTTCCAGATTGATACACAGGAGCCAAAGCTGGCTGTAAAGAACAAAAAAGGAATAAGACAGTGGAGAAGGAAACTCCACTGGACTTCAGGCAGCAACATACCTCACTGTTGAACTATTCTCACTATCCTAATGTTTAGATGGAGTCTCTTTAGAGCAGCTGTGAAAATCAATGTGTTGTGCAAATCAATGGCTGAATTAATTTTTATGGCCCTTGAGCAATTGTTTCACAGGGTAGAGGTTGCTTATTTAGGATGCAGAAAGCTCCAAACTGTTTGGATCCTTCCCTTGTTAAAACTATAGCTGAAAAAAAATGTGAGCACCATTGTTTTATTTTTTAAATCCTTTATTTATATTTCACCTTTTTCCCAATGCAAGGACCCAAGGCGGCTAACAACAAACCTGACATTTTATTCATTTATTGTGTCAGAAGCGAGTTGAGGGTACAGTTAAAATGTATTTAAAAACACAAAGTTAAAAAAATAACTTGGCTGCTGAACTTGCTGACCGAAAAGTCGCAGGTTGGAATCAGAGGAGAGGTGTGAGCTCCAGCTGTTAGCCCCAGCTTCTGCCAACCTAGCAATTCACAAACATACAAATGTGAGTAGATTAATAGGTACTGCTACAGTGAGAAGGTAACAGTGCTCTTTGCAGTCCTGCCGGGTACATGACCTTGGAAGTGTCTATGGACAACGGCAGCTCTTTGGCTTAGAAATGGAGATGAGCACCAACCCCCAGAATCGGACATGACTGGACTTAATGTCAGGGAAAAACCTTTACCTTTAACCTATGATGCTAAATGTCCTCTGAGCAGATGTTGACCACTTGGACTGCCTCTGGTGTCACTATAAGCAGGTCCCACATTATTCATGTGGAGAGGCTCAGAACGCATTGTAGCAGGTGGTCTGTGGTTTACTCTTCTCCACACTAGCATATCATGGACTTCACCTTGTGGCCCCATTTCTTAAGGTTGGCTCTGCATCTCATGGTGCCAGGACTCAGTCTGTTCAGCACCTTCCAGGTTGTCCACTCTTCTGTGTATTCAGGAGGGAGTCTCTCATCTGGTCTAAGCCACTGATCGAGGTTCCGAGTTTTAGCCTACCACTTTTGGACTCTTGCTTGTCTGCAAGTATCTGTAGATCTTGGGAAGCTGTTTCTTGATTTAAGGCATTGGCATGCTCGCTGATGTCCAAACGGTGGATGGGCTGGAGATGTCAATGCCTACAGGCTGCTACTTCCTGGCGGATGTCAGGTGGTGCAATACGGGCTAAACAGTACAGTTTCTCCAGCAGTGTAGGGCGTAGACATCTTGCGATACTGTGGCATATCTCATTAAGAGCCACATCCACTGTTTTAACGTGATGAGAGGTATTCCACACTGGGCATGCGTACTTAGCAGCAGAGTAGCCAAGCACAAGTGCAGATATCTTCACTGTCTCTGGTTGTGATCCCCAAGTTTTGCCATATTATTTGTATGATATTATTTCTAGCACACACTTTTTGGTTGATAGTCAAGCAGCGCTTCTTATAAGCCAGAGCATAGTCCAGAGTTACTTCCAGGTATTTGGGTGTGCTGTAATGCTCCAGTGGGATTCCTTCCCAGGTCATCCTCTGAGCTTGAGATTCTTGTCTGTCCTTAAGGTGACAAACAAATGTCTGCATTTTAGATGGATTAGGAATCAGCTAGTTTTCCCTGTAATAGGCAGTAAGAGCACCTAAAGTTTCGGAGAGCTTCTGTTCAGTCATTTCAAAGCTTCCTGCTTGAGCGATGATGGCATGATCGTCAGCATAGATGAAACTCTGTGTCCCTTCTGGCAGTGGCTGGTCATTTGTGTAAATGTTAAACATTGCTGGAGCAAACACACTCCCCTGAGGCAGGCTGTTTTGCAGTTTTCGCCACCTGCTTCTCTCTCCCTGGAACTCAACAAAAAAGCTCCTGTTTTATAGCAGATTTCCTATGAAGCAGGTGAGGTGATAGTCCTTTGTGATATTATAATTTTTTCTCAGGAGAAGGTAGTGATTTACGGTGTCTTATGCTCCTGGCAGGTTTGTGAAGACACTCCTGTAGTTGGCTTCCTTGGAATTAAAAACAGAGAAAACGTATATAAATATGAATTTCATAATTTTAAAAAAATAGTTCCATGGAATTTAAACTATATTTAAAATCCCACTGATATCATGTCCAGCAGCCTGCCTGTCATGTTCTTCTACATCAGGAAATTTCTCATCTCATATAGTTGATTTTACTGAGAGGTTAAATCAGTTATTTGGAATTGATTTCAATTATATGTTCTCTCAGACTTTTTTTGAAAGCAGTTGTGTTTCTCTTGGAAATCCTGCACCCCTAAGTGCAGTGAATATGGAGGGCTGACCATAGAGCCAGATTCTTCACTGAGTCTGATCACAAAATACCCAAATGCCTGGGGTTCTCCTATGTCTCCCAAGATTGTAGAGTGAAATTGGGTTCTTTTCCCCCCAGGTTCTGTGGGGAATGCCTCCAGCCGTGCCTCCAAGTGACTTCTCCCCTCTGCCCACTTTGCCGCATGCCCTTTGATCCCAAGAAGGTGGAGAAGGCTTCCAGCGTGGAGAAGCAGCTCTCTTCCTTCAAGGCGCCCTGCCGAGGCTGTAGCAAGAAGGTAAGGAGTTCAAAATAGCATTTCCTGCCTGAAGGATGGAGGTACCTCTTTTCATAGCAACTTTGGAAGCAGCAGGAAGTGGTTGCATAGCTTGCAGCTCAGTTGTTTTGCATCTCTGCCTCTCTAGCAAGTGAGATCTTTCACCACAAAGAACTTCTTTGCAAGTGTTTAAATAGTAGTTTAGCTCCAGGATTCAAGCAGGCATTAATGCTTGGGAAGGATGGCAATTTTGTACACACATAAATTCTGTAGTGGTGCTCCTGATGCAACCCAAAGTAATGTAATGGTTCATTTAATTTTTTTATTTTTTTTTTGGCTTCTGGGTGGAAAGTGAGGATTCTGAAAAAGCTTGGGAAGGTTGCCTTGGTAAAACTGCATTAGCAAGAACTTGGAGCTAGTTTTGGGGCTTCAAAAATTGTAAAATACTTATAGAGTTACATTATTATACATTGATACTGTATTTCTTCAGTTCTAAGACACTTTTTTCCTATATAAACATCTCAAAAATGGAGTAGGTCTTAGAATCGCAGGTATATCTTGCATATTTTTGGTGGTGTTAGTAAAATTAGGGTGCGTCTTAGCCAATGCCATTTTACAATTGAAGAAATAGATAAACTGGAATTTGCAATTACTTTGAGCTGGTTTTTGGTCTTTAAACATTGTAATTATATCGATTTTTAATTAGATAGACAGATAGATGATATTGATTCTTGGAAGGCATCAGGGATAAACACACACACATATTTATCATATATACGAGTATAAGCCAAGTTTTTCAGCCATTTTTAGGCTGAAAAGGCCCCCCTCGGCTTGTACTCAAGTCAAGGTTATTTATTATTTTACTAGATTATTGTTGTTGTTGTTGTTGTTGTTGTTATTAGATTTATTATTTTACTCTATTTACTAATATTAAATTTCCATTATTTTACTCTATTATACATTTACTATTTACTCTATTATTATTATTACATTTATATTATTATTTTACTTTATTATAGTTATTACATTTATTATTTTACTCTATTTATTGTTATTACGTTTATTATTATTACATTATTTTACTGTATTATTATTACATTTATTATTTTACTCTATTATTATATGCACAGCAAGATTAGTACACAGCAAACAAGATCACTATGCTGACTTTTGTATTTCATCATGTGTCAGACATTTCCCAAGTATCTAGGACTGTGAAGTATTAGCGAATAATGTGTGCAGATCCAAATAGGCTGGCTTTTTGCAGCTGACAGATGGTAATTTTGTCAACGCCGATTGTTTTTAAGTGCAGGCCAGTGACTACACCTTTAAAGCCTTCCAAAGATAGAAGGAATGCAACTAGGAATTTGTCTAACTGCCTCACATAATTTATTTCTGAACTAGGAAGATTTTTTTTCAAAAGAAAGCTTGCCTTGAGTATTTTAATTTGGGGCATCTTCTGACCCAATTGGGCATTTCAGCTTCTAAAATGTCTGATGTCCATCTTTTCTGTTCTTTTTTCACCCTTCAGGTGACCCTGGCAAAGATGAGGCCCCATGTCACGTCCTGCACCAAGGTCCAGGAGCAGATGGCCAACTGTCCAAAGTTTGTCCCTGTCGTCCCAACCTCTCAGCCCATTCCCAGGTATCTGTCCCTTTGATTTGAGAGTGTGATGGAGTTGCTATGCCACGAGTCAAAGAATTAGGTTAAAAAGAGAGATTCTATTCATTTCAGAAAAGCGGGGGTTTTTTTACAGCCAAATACGTTTTCTCTCTTGCAGCAATATCCCAAATCGCTCCACATTTGTCTGCCCTTATTGCGGAGCGCGGAATTTGGACCAGCAGGAACTGGTGAAGCACTGCATGGAAAACCACCGCAACGACCCCAATAAAGTGGTGAGTTTTATGGCTGTTAGAGTCAGGGTGGGACCAATTCTGTCATAGTAATGCCAGTGTCTTTGAAATGGTTTGAGATGGCTCTCAATCCACTAACAGCATATATTTGTAAAACCATGGAATCTATGTAGTTTTTGAATGCTTTCACAGAACGTTGTGCCTTTGGGAATTGCTTAATATAAACTGAGGACCCTTCTAGTAAAGGTAAAGTTTTCCTGACTCGAGGGGGGGGGGGAGGTGCTCATCTCCATTACTGAGCCAAAGAGCTGGCGTTGTCCGTAGATGCCTCCTGGGTCATGTGGCCAGCATGACTCCATGGAGCACCAGGACCTTTCCGCAGAAGCGGTACCTTTTGATCTACTCACATTTGCATGATTTCGAGCTGCTAGGTTGGCAGAAGCTGGGCCTAACAGTGGGAGCTCACCCTGCTCCCTGGATTAGAACCGCCGACCTTTCGGTCAGCAAGTTTAGTAGCTCAGCATTTTAACCCACTGTGCCACCAGGGGACCCATGAGGCCCCTTCTACACTGTCATATAAAATCCAGATTATCTGCTTTGGCAATTTAGGCCCCTTCTACACTGCCATATAATCCAGGTTATCCAGGCAGATAATCCACATTATCTGCTTTGAACTGGATTATAGGAGTCTACACTGCCATATAATCCAATTCAAAGCAAATAAATTGGATTTTATATGGCAGTGTAGATGGGGCCGTAGACTCATGTAATCCAGTTCAAAGCAGATTAGGTAGATCACCTGCTTGGATAATCTGGATTATATGGCAGTGTAGGAAGGGCCTTAGTCTCCCTTGTCCAACTATGAACATTTATTCTCAATCAAGATACAAGATATAGTAATGATGATGATGATTATTATTGTTATTGTTATTATTTCCATCTTGTCTTCTGCCAGTTGGGAGGCCCCTCCCTCCTCTGGCACCAACTGCTACTCTGGCCAGAGTGAAGACAAAGGGGAGTGGAAGACACTTCCATCTTGTCTTTACTAATAATATCATATAGTATATTGTATATACATATAATATTTATAATATTATAATGTAATACAATATAATACTAGTAATAATAATACAATATTATAATTATATATTTACATTACATGTAATATTACTAATAATATTACAATATAATGGTATAGTGCAATATAGTAATATATAATACTGATATTGCACTATGCTAATAATATAATGTATGAAAATATATCTTGTAAGCTGCTCTGAGTCCCCTTCGGGGTGAGAAGGGCGACATAGAAATGCCGTAAATAAATAAATAAATAAATAAATAAATAAATAAATATTTTGCCTAATAGAGACTGAATGTCAGTTATTCAGCCTTTTTGTGTCTCCATCAAGATCTAAAAGTAGGGTTTAAATAAACATAAACACAATAATAATAATCGGCATCATCATCCAAAATGCTTGGGACCAGAAGTATTTCGGATCCCCCTCCTGATTTTGGAAAACCTGTATTTGCATATATGTTTTGGACCCAAGTCTGAACATATTTCATAAATACCCTATATACATAACCTGGAGATCATTTTGTACAATATTTTTAATGTTTTTGTGCATAAAACAAAGTGCATTGAACTATCAGAAAGCAAAGGTGTCACTCAGCCACCTGTAATGGACAATTTTGAACTTCAGAAAAGGGGAATCTGAAATTCAAAACAGTCCCAACTGCAAATGGCAGCTTAAAAAGCAACGGAAGTCATGCAAACAAACAGCAGCAAAAGGTGAATCCGTCCCTTAGTTATTCCCCTGAAGCTTGTGTATAAACGCATATTTTCATTGGTGACTGAAAGACAAAGGGAACAACCGGAAGACAATAATTGTGGGGTCAAATCTGCTCATTGGCTGGTGCAGCCCTGGAGCGGAAAATGACTTCTCTCCAATTGCCTGCACATTGGAGCATGTGCGGAGTTCGTAGTTTTGCACTAACAGCTGCCTCTGGGCCTATTGAGGACGTTTCATCTTGTTTCTAGTTCACTGAATCGCTGCTGTTTCTCTAATGGCAAAAGAGCTTCCTATCCCTTCTGCAGAAGCAAACAGGAAAGCGAATGGTGCCTGAAAAAAGAGTCTCCTCTCATTTCGTGCAAAGAGCTCTGAGAATCACTCCTGTTAGATACCCACCCAATCTCTTAAGATCAGGTCAGGGGATTGTGTGGTTTTAGCTATATGAATAGGTTTTTCATAATGGTTTTAAGGTTTTTAACAGTTTATTAGAATTCTATTTTAATGTTTTTATGTTTTTGTCTTTATTTTTTAAACATTGTTAGCTGCTTTGAGTCTCTTTCAAGGAAGAAAATGCCGGACATTAATAATAATTATTGTTTTCAGCCAAAGAAGTCCATTGTTTGCCATTCTTGATCTCTATTTTGACAGAACATGGTATCAGAAATATTAAAAATTAACTAGGTATTTTTAATTACAAAAATGTGAGTCAAGCACTGAAAGGGTTAAATGGATGCAATGACTCAAAAAAAGCTGCAATTCAATATAAGCAGGTGTTCCTGTAGCTTAGTAGCGCTCAGTCTGTGAGAGGTCTCTGTGGGAGAAGGGCCTCAGTGTGTTAGTAGGCCTCAGTATGAGAAGGCCTCAGTGTTAGTTTATCTCAGTGGGAGAAAGGTCTCAGTGTGAGGTAGGCCTCATTGTTAGTAGGCCTCAGTATGGGAAGGCCTGGTGTGAGAAGCTTCGGTGAGAGAAGCCCCAGGTTGAAGGCCATAGTGTGTTAAGTTTCAATGTAAAGGCTGCTGTGTGTAAAAAGCTACTGTGTGGTGCTCCTCTGTAAATTCGGTGTGAGAAGATGCTCTGTGATAACAAATCTGTTTATCTGCACGAGAAAGAAGCCCAGCATGGAAGCAAAGAAGGAAGTATAAAGAACTTTATTTGTGCTATGGAAACTTTGTTCTTGTAAATAGTGCAACCATATTATTTTACTACAAAGAAAAGCCTCCTAAGGAAGAGATAACATTGGTCTGTGTGTTTTGTTCTGTTTATCACTTTTGTCTACTGGTGGTGGGGTCACGCTGCTGCTAATAAGAAAATTGGTATAAACTTTTCTACAGATGGTGCTTAACACCGGAAAAACTAGCAAAGATTAATAAAGGTAGAACAAGTGCAAAATGTTGGAAATGCAGGAAAAAATTAGGCACCTTTATACATCTATGGCGGAAGTGTAAGAAAATCAAATCCTTCTGGCAGTTGATACACAAAACAACAGAATCAATTTTGCAAGTTAGCTTTGAGTTCAAACCAGAATATTTTTTACTAGGACTAACAGATTTTGAAATGGACAATAACACAAACAGAATTTTCATTTATTTAATAATGGCAGCAAGGATCAAACTAGCTCAATTATGGAAAACTAAGAAATACCGAGAATTGAAAACTGGCTATTGAAAGTTTGGGACATAACGAATATGGACTTACTTTCGCAAAAATTAACAGATAATAATATACAAAGGCAGAAAACGAACTAGGAAAAAATTATTGAATTCATTAGCAAAAACAGTGTAGAACTGCATATTCAGGAGATGTAACAAAGCATCAAAGGCTAATGTCTAGTGAGAAACCAGATGGCAATCTGATGGAATATACATCAAAAGAAGAGTTGATAACATAATCTAAAGCAACCTGGAAGTAACTTACAACTTCGACACTCTGGGTTTTTTTTCTTTTCTCTCTCTCTCTCTCTCTTTTTGATCCCTACTTTTTTCCCTTCCTACTTTTCTTTCACATATTGTTCTCACACTTTTGCTGTAAATCTATCGTGATTTTATTAGTTTTCTCACTCTCCAATCTTATGGAAACACATTATTTTCAATAAAAATAATGATTAAAAAATAAGTTACTTGGTATATACACACAGCAGATCCATAAACCAATAAGACCACTTAAGCATGTGTGCCTGTATCTTAGAGCTCTCAGTCTGTGAGAGGTCTCTGTGGGAGAAGGGCCTCAGTATTAGTTTGCCTCAGTGGGAGAAAGGCCACAGTCTAAGAAAGCCCTCAGTGTGAGAAGGATTTAGTGGGAGAAAGGCTTCAGTGTTAGTAGGCCTCAGTATAAGAAGGCCTGATGTGAGAAGACTGGGTGAGAGAAGCCCCAGCTTGAAGGCCATCGTGCCAGAAGCTTCAGTGTCAAGGCTGCTGTGTGCATTTATGAGGAGGGTATTTTGTTAATAAGCCCCTTGCCCAACATATGGCTTGCTGAGTGCTGTATTTTAGGTTTTAAATTATATTGTATTGGTTTTATTTTGAGTCTCTTAGATAAAACAGGATACAAATTACCATTATTATTATTATTAGGCTGAAAATGATTCCCCACATTCTGCTAGATAGCAAAACAAAAGAATAACAGCTTTTCTGAGCTGATTTCTGCTAGGAATCAGATCCTCCATACATTCTGTCTCTCAAATGGTCATTTTTAGGGTGTCATCATGCTTCTTTTGAAATGGGATGCTGGCTGCTCTGAGACTCATTTTAAGAGAGTATAAATAAATATAATATGATGTTTTCTCCTGAAAGTCCGCTTCTTCTTCTCCTCCCTCCTTTCCAGGTCTGCCCGGTCTGCTCAGCCATGCCTTGGGGTGACCCCAGCTATAAAAGCGCCAACTTCTTACAGCATCTCCTTCACCGGCACAAGTTCTCCTACGACACATTTGTGGTGAGTGACGGTCACCAAAACAGAGCCTCTGATGCCTAAATTTACTGGCTTTAGACTCAATTTGGAGAGTTTGAGATGGCTTCGGGGTGGCAAATGTGGGCCAGGGTTCTGTGGTCTTTGATGTTGGTTATGGTGGATCTGTGTGCCACGCTTGGTCCAGGTCCATTGTGGAAGTCATCATGTTCTCTGGATGTAAGGGCCATCTTGGAAAATACATACATATGTTTATAGAAGACAAGCTTAACTCACTACCTCTGAGGATGCTTGCCAAAGTGCAGGCGAAACGTCAGGAAAGAATGCCTCTAGACCATGGCCATACAGCCCGAAAAAACCTACAACAAACCACAAGCTTAACTACTTGGCGATGTCTGGATTAGAGATTTTGGAATGATAAATATTAGTATTCATTGTTTGGTTTTGGTTTTTATGAATAACTAGCTGTCCCCTGCCACGCGTTGCTGTGGCCCACATGGGGGTTCTGTGTGAGAGGTTTGGCCCAATTCTATTGATGGTGGGGTTCAGAATGCTCTGTGATTGTAGATGAACTATAAATCCCAGAAACTACAACCCCCAAGTGTCAAGATTCTATTTTCCCCAAACTCCACCAGTGTTCACATTTGGGCATATTGAGTCTTCGTGTAGAGTTTGGTCCAGATCCATCAGTGTTTGAGTCCACAGTGATCTCTGGATATAGGTGAACTATAACTCCAAAACCAAAGGACACTGTGGCCGAAACATCAGGAGGGGATGCTTCTAGAACATGGCCAGACAGCCTGGAAAACTCACAGAATTGTAGAAGCATCTTATGCTCTACAATTCTCAAGGGCCACAAATCCCAGTGTAAAACTACCATGGCCAGAATGATTGGGTTGTTGTAGGTTTTTTTGGGCAATATGGCCATGTTCTAGAGGCATTCTCTCCTGACGTTTCGTCTGCATTTATGGCAAGCATCCTCACTACCTCTGAGGATGCTTGCCATAGATGCAGGCGAAACGTCAGGAAAGAATGCCTCTAGAACATGGCCATATCGCCCGAAAAAACCTACAACAACCCAAAAAAATGATATGCAAGATAGAGAGAGAGATTTTCAAAACAGAGCAATAGTAAAAATAAAGGTTTCTCTTTGACAGTAAGTCCAATCGTGTCCGATTCTGGGGGGTTGGTGTTCATATCCATTTCTAAGCCGAAGAGCTGGCAATGTCCATAGACGCCTCCAAGGTCATGTGACCGGCATGACTGCATGGAGCGCCATTACCTTCCCGTAAAAGTGGTACCTACTAATCTTCTCACATTTGCATGTTTTTGAACTGCTAAGCTGGCAGAAGCTGGGGCTAACACTCCCCAGATTTGAACCACCGACCTTTCAGTCAGCAAGTTCAGCAGCCCAGAGGTTTAACAAAACAAAACAGTAACATCTGCCCTTGTCTTCCTCTCTTCCAGGACTACAGCATCGACGAAGAAGCTGCCTTGCAAGCTGCCCTGGCGCTCTCCCTTTCGGAAAACTGAGGCCGAACTTTGGGGCCACTCTGGGGTTTTGCCATGCCCTCGATATGGACCTTTCCCCCCTATTTTCCCCAATGGAGAGGGGACCAAATCCTCATCCCTTTCCACCGACGTTTGTCCAGACAAATGATTCCCAAGAACATAAGGAATCGGATGCCAGCGATGAAACGTAACGGAGCTCCATCCTTCTCCGAGTTTGGATTTTGGGTTGGTGGGCCCTCTTTGTACATTCCCCCCGTTAACAAGGGGACGTTATTTTATTAAGATGCTTTTAATAAGATTTTAGCACCATTCTTCCTTTCTCCTCTTCTGTGGTTTATATAGCAGCGAAAGCATTTCAACGACTGTCAGGGTTTTTCTTAAAAACCAAATAACAATAATAATAATGCACTCATTTCTTGTGGGTTTTTTCGGGCTATATGGCCATGTTCTAGAGGCGTTTCTCCTGACGTTTCGCCTGCATCTATGGCAAGCATCCTCATCCAGCAGACCTCACCTCTGAGGATGCTTGCCATAAATGCAGGCAAAACGTCAGGAGAAATGCCTCTAGAACATGGCCATATAGCCTGAAAAAATCCACAAGAACGGAGTGATTCCAGCCATGAAAGCCTTCGACAATAATAATAATGAGTTGTGAGTTTTCCAGACTGTCTGGCCATGTTCCGGAAGCATTCTCTCCTGACATTTCGCCCACATCTATGGCCGGCATCCTCAGAGGCTGAGAGGGGTCTATTGAAAACTAGGCAACTGAGGTTTATATATCTGCTGCAATTAATCACCTTGATTAGCATTGCAAAGCCTTGCAGTTTTAAGGCTTGGCTGATTGCTGCCTGAGGGAATCCTTTTTTGGGAGGTGTTAGCTGGCCTTGGTTGTTTCGTGTCATATGCCTTTAAATGGCCTAGTTGTTCCTTATTCAGAAATGCAAAATCCAAATTCACCAAAAAATAATTAATATATAGTGGGTTGCTGTGAGTTTTCTGGACTGTCTGGCCATGTTCTGAAAGCATTCTCTCCTGATGTTTCGCCCACATCTATGGCAGGCATTCTCAGAGGTTGTGAGGTCTGTTGGAAAGTAGACAAGTGGAGTTTATATCTCTGTGGAAGGTTCAGGGTGGAAGAACTCTTTATCTGTTGGCAGCAAATGTGAATGTTGAAATTAATCACCTTGATTAGCATTGCAAAGCCTTGCAGTTTCAAAGCCTGGTTGGTTGGTTGCTGCCTGGGGGAATCCTTTGTTGGGAGGTGCTAGCTGGCCCTGATTGTTTCATGAGGAAAACATGAAAATGAACAAAATCTGGTTACCAATATTTTAAAAAAATCTCATATTAGTACAATAAATAAATAACACTCTGAAAACAGGGGAATTCCAGACATGAAACAATCAGAACCAGCTAACACCTCCCAACAAATGATTCCCCCAGGCACCAATCACCCAGGCCTTGAAACTGCAAGGCTTTGCAATGCTAATCAAGGTGATTAATTGCAACATTCACACCTGCCTCCAACAGGCAAGAGTTCTCACAATAGTTTCAAACTACAAGAAAGGAGATTCCATCTGAACATGAGGAAGAACTTCCTGACTGTGAGAGCCGTTCAGCAGTGGAACTCTCTGCCCCGGAGTATGGTGGAGGCTCTCTCTTTGAAAGCTTTTAAACAGAGGCTGGATGGCCATCTGTCAGGGGTGCTTTGAATGCAATATTCCTGCTTCTTGGCAGAATGGGGTTGGACTGGATGGCCCATGAGGTCTCTTCCAACTCTATGATTCAATGACTCTTTCTCCCACTCTGGACATTATTCCACAGACATACAGTATAAACCTCGCTTGCCTAGTTTCCATATGACATGAAACAATCAAGGCCAGCTAACACCTCCCAACAAAGGATTCCCCCGGGCAGCAACCAACCAATCAGGCTTTGAAACTGCAAGGCTTTGCAATGCTAATCAAGGTGATTAATTGCAACATTCAAACCTGCCTCCTCCCACCCTGGACATTATTCCACAGATATATAAACCCCATTTTCCTAGTTTCCAACAGACCTCACAACCTCTGAGAATGCCTGCCGTAGATGTGGGTGAAACATCAGGAGAGAATGCTGCTGGAACATGGCCAGGCAGCTCGGTAATTTTGAGAAAACCAGTGATTCTGTCCATGAAAGCCTTCGACAACACCTTAATATTATTATTTAAAACCCAGCGAGCATGGAAGGTCTGACCTTTGTAGGAATCATATTTATTATGCCTTTGGGTGCGGTTTGCCCAGCCAGATCCACAAATTACATTTCGGATAAAAGGTTTTCAAGCTGCTTATTTTTATACTGGCTTTTTTGGCGACAGATATAGAGTCGTCTTTCTTTTCGCCACGCGTCAATAACTCTTTCCACATTTTCTATAGAGTCCACAAGACGTAGATAACTCTTGGTGTGGCAATATCCGTGTTTGGTTAGCAACAATCGTATTTTTACGGAGCAGTCTTTTTTAAAAGTATTTTTGAAATAAAAAAGTGGGCTTTTTTGTTGAATAAAAACGGGATTTTGAACCAAATTTTTTGGGGGGCGGGATAGGAAAGATGGAGGCCTGCTGGAATGGGGAAAGGGCTCCTTTTCGGAGCAATGGAGTGGTTGTCTTTTTTTATAAACCTGGGTCAGGAATCTCTTTTCTGCTGTCAAGAAAAAGATCGTTGATGAAATTACCTATCTTGTGTCTTTTTCCTTCTATTTTTTTCCATAGTTTTAAGAAGCCAAATAGCGTACTTTTTCCTTTCCTTAGAAAAGGATAGAAGACTATGGAAACCAGGGCCCAATTCCTTGCTTGGCCAGGAACATTAATTGAGTGATCTCAAGCAAGTTGCACTCTCTCAGCCTCAGAAAACCCTGATTATTGTATGTTCAGACTGAATTTGGGGCCAAAATACTGTATTGCAATCCCTATGGTGACCTCTAGAGGGAGATGCAACTCCATTTGTGTCTATGCCTTTTTTCCAGTTTGAGCCCCTGCCCTGAACCAAAGAGCCCCCAGTGGTGCAGTGGGTTAAGCCCTTGTGCCGGCAGGACTGCTGACCAAAAGGTCGGTGGTTCAGATCTGGGGAGTGGGGTGAGCTCCCATCTGTCAGCTCCAGTTTCCGATGCAGGAACATGAGAGAAGCCTCCCACAAGATGGTAAAATATCCAGGCATCCTATGGGCAGTGTCCTTGCAGATGACCAATTCTCTCACACCAGAAGCAACTTGCAGTCGCTCTTGGCACAGAAAGAAAACCTTGTCCTGAGCCATTGTTTTGGGCCAAGTCAGCTGCTTGCTTATACAGCATTTGGAGACTTTGGGGTGGGGGGAGACTGGGGGAAAGTGCAGTAATACTAAAAAGGAAAAAGGTTTCCCTTTGACATCAAGTCTAGTCGAGTCCAACTCTGAGGGGTGGTGCTCGTCTCCATTTCTAAGCTGAAGAGCCAGCGTTGTCCTTATTTTTTTATTTTTTACTTTTTATTTACAGCATTTTTACCCCACCCTTCTCAACCCCCGGGGGGAGACTCAGAGCGGCTAACAAAGGCAGCAATTCGATGCCACAAATCAATAGCACAGTATAAAACCATAAATACATACAGAGTTAAAACAATACCAATTATAACCAATTATCATAACAGTTATTAAAACAATACTCAGTTCTTAGACACCTCCAAGATCATGTGGTCACCATGACTGCATGGAGTGGCGTTACTTTCCTGCCGGAACGGTACCTTTCGATCTACTCACATTTGCATGTTTTCGAACTACTACGTAGGCAGAAGCTGGGACTAACAGCAGGAGCTCACCCTACTCCCCAGATTCAAACCATCACCTTTTTGGTCAGCAAGTTCAGCAGCTCAGCGTTTTAACCCACCTCACCACAGGAGGCTCTGCAATAATACTGTTACCAATGATTTCAAAGTTTCTCGAGATTTAGTGCTCCTACTTCACAAATGGGTTTCTGAGGTCATTCCTTCAAGGCAGAGGATTAAGGAAAGCAAGGAGGGCGAAGGAAAAAAAGGCAAAGGGGGAAGAGGAAGGAAGAAGAAAAGGGAAGAAGATGGAAGGAAGGAAAAGGAAGGAAGACAGAGTGGAAGGAAGGAAGGCAAAAAGGAAACAGGAGAAAGGTGAGGAGGAAAGGGAAGGTGAAAGGAAAAACTGAATGCGAAAAGGGAAGAGGATGGAAGGATGTCAAAAAGGAAAAGAAGGAAGGAGAGAGTCAGGGAGGAAAGAGGGAAGGAAGGTGAAAAGGGAAGAAGATGGAAGGGAAAAGGGAAGAAGAGGATGGAAGGATGGCAAAAGGAAGGAAGGAGAAATAAGAAGAAATGGAAGGAAGGAGAAAGAAGTGGAAGGAAGGAAGGCAAAAAGGAAAAGAAGGAAGGAGAGAGGCAGGGCAGAAAGGGAAGGAAGGTGAAAAGGGAAGAAGAAGATGGAAGAGAAAAGAAAGGAAGGAGAAGTTGGACGGAAGGAAGGCAAAAGGACAAGAAGGAAGGAGAAAGACAAGGGGGAAAGGAAAGTGTAAGGAAAGAGAAAAGGAAAGAAGAACTTGGAAGGGAGAAAGGAGAAGAATTAGGAGGAAGGCAAAAGGGAGAAAGGTGAGAAGGAAGGTAAACAGGAAAATGGAAGAAGAAAAGGGAAGAAGATGGAAGGAAAGAAGGAAGGAAGGCAGAGTGGAAGGAAGGCAGAAAGGAAACAAAGGAGAAAGGTTAGGAGGAAAGAAGGAAGGTGAAAGGGAAAATTGAATGGGAAAAAGGAAGAAGAAGATGGAAGGGAGAAAGGAGAAGAATTAGGAGAAAGGTAAACAGGAAAATGGAAGGAAGAAGAAAGGGGAAGGAGAAGATGGAAGGAAAGCAAAAGGAAGGAGAAAAGAAGTAGAAGGAAGGAAGGCAAAAGGAAAAGTGAGGAAAGAGAAGGAAGATGAATGGGAAAATGGAAAGGAGAAAGAAGGAGAAGAAGGAAGGAAGCAAAAGAAAAGGAAGAGAGGCAGGGAGGAAAGAAGGAAGGAAATGAGATGGAAGGAAAGCAAAAGGAAAATATAAGAAAGGAATGGAAGGAGAAAAGGGAAGGAGAAGATGGAAGGATGGCAAAAGGAAGGAAAGAAGTTGAAGGATGGAAGGAAGGCAAACTGACAAGGAGAAAGGCAAGGGGGAAAGAGGGAAGGAAGGCAAAAGGAAGAAAAATGAGAGGAAGGAAAGCAAAAGGAGAAAAGGGAAGAAAAGCAGTAAGTAGAGAAAGAAACACAAGGAGAAAGAAATGAAAGAAAAAGAAATATTTGAAATCTGCATGTTTTACAA